TACCCTGTACTTCTTCAAGAAATACTTTTTTAAATTTTGTTCATGGGAAACCTAGAAAAAATCTGACATGAGCAGGGGTTAAAAATTGGACCATCACCGATTTAAAAATTTTTAAAACAGTTTGATCAGGAATTTCATCACACATGTTTACAGGTATGTCACTTTGAGATCGGATAAAATTGGTCCGAGTTATGGCTCCTGGAAGTATTAGCACATGGGTCTGTTTTTGCCATTCATGAAAAATCCAGAAAAATCTGACATGAGCAGGGGTCAAAAATTGGACCATCACCGATTTGAAAAATTCCAACGGGTATTGTTCAGGAATTCCATCACAAATTTAAAAAGGTATGCCACTTTAAGATCGGATAAAAATTGTTCGAGTTATGGCTTTTGGAAGTCCAGATTTGGGTCTCCTTTCTCCTTTCTCCGATAACAGATAAAAAATTGATCTTCACGAATTGAAAAATTTTAACGCAGTGCCTTTTATTTATGCATAATAAATTCACTGTTAGATAGTTATCTGCTGTATTACTTTTTTTTGTAAGCAGAGTAGTCCCTTAGTTTTCTTTGTAATTATTATATTCCACTCTAAATTTGAAGGTGACTACAGTCTTCTGCCGAACAAGAAAACTGACGTGTGCAGCATAGTCGCCCGTGTCGATGGGAAAACGATTTCTCAGGTGATCAATGTCGAATTCAAAATTGTCAAATAGTATTTGGTCATTTGCCTGAAATTTTTATGGTAACTAATAGTGCTTGAAAAAAATCTTTCACTTACTTTAAAAGGACACGTATAGTTTTTGGCAAAGTGAGGTTTCGCGTAAGCATAAAAAATACACATAATTACATTATGCTTGTTGTTGAGAAAATCGCACAAATTCATAGAAACGTTGTACAAAAAGGGTTTCCATCCGCTGGCTCTTTTAAAAAGCTGAAACTGGATCTGTAAATGTATACGTTTTTATTGATTTACTTTGGGCAACATAAATTATAAACTTACTGTTGCTTTTTTGACTTCTTGTTTTATTTTTAAGTGAATATTAACCGAGTTTCTGTATCGATTGATGGCCTTAAGTTTGCATAACTCAACATCTAAGTAATCATGGTCGTTTAAACTGCATTCTATGCTCTTGAACTTGGACTCAACTTTAAGGGATTTCACAACAAACAGAGCAAACAAAATAAAAACCAGCATGATTCTCTGGCAGTTACCTAAAAACTAATTTTGACTAATGGGAATAACATGACATTATGAACAAAACGATATCACTACAATTGATCAGTTATAATACTTAAACGATACAACAATTACTAACTAGTGACGATACCACATTCAATGCTCAAATTTTGTGACGAAAACTTTTATAAATCTGACCAAAAAAAATTATTTTTCCTATGATGAAAAATTTAACTCCATTTTGTTTTAAAATTTCATTATAAACCTTTCGAATTGTGGCACATGTAGATCGGGATAAAACTGTTGGAGTGATTGGTTGTAAAAATTTAGTTTTAGGAAAACTGATATTCCCTCGAATTCAAGGAGCAATGGGTATGGAAATTTGTCGCACCGCCAACTTTTTGCCCCTTGGACCCTCGCCGCCGCCTAAGACAATTGTCGATTGCCTCCACTGGTGGCCTGGATTGCCTGCCCTGTCATCGTCTTTTGCCGCATCTCTGGTCCTCCGGACTCAGTTCTTCGTTCTCCGTTCTGTGTCCTCCGTCCTCATTGCCAATCCTCCAGTCTGGCGGATCCAGTTTCGCATTTGCAATTCGCATCTCGCCTTTTCCGCGGGCGCATTCTTGCGTAGGCGTTTGACGTGCCGCTGATTAGCCGGCAGTTCTCGCAGTTCTCAGCATTCGGCGTTTTGGGGCGGGAAATTCGCTGCCACATGCGGACACTCGAGACCCGGGCTCCAAACACTTTTAGGGCGAAATTAGCGAGCCAAACAAACATTAGCTGGCCCAGTCTGGGAATACGATGGGCAAAGTGTAGCAAAGTGCCTTGCGATTTCGCGTTTTAATTGCCGCTGCCTCTGTTGCCTTTTCTCCAGTTTTTTTTTTTTTTTTTTTTGCCTCTGTCGCAAGCAATGTTCGTGGAAATAAAAAGAATTTGTATTTTTTTTCACCCTGCTGATTGCATGTCAAGAATAAAGGCGAAAATGAATGCAAATATAATTTTTAATTAATTAAAGCAAAAAGATATCGCTCACATTTGGTTGGAGTTCTTGGGAATTAAGCGTTCACTTTGAACTGTCAGCGAATTATTTACAAAATGCAAAATTAAAGGGAAATTGCAAACAATTATATAGCTACTCGGTTTTATGGCAAAAATCAATTGAGGGGATGTCATTTTGTGTTTATTTATCGCAAATTGTAATTGCAATATGTTAAATATTTCACAAAGAATTCGAGGCAACATGGAATTGGAAATCAGTTCATGGCAAAAGTGTCGCGAATACGCAGCCTGCCGCTGCTATTTATGATAATTGTTTTTCGGTTCATTAATTTATTGTGGGCACTGTTTGGCATGCGATCAACAGAGAACTCCTCCGCGGAGGGGAATCCGGCAGCCAATGCAGATAATTAATTACAGGCTGCGTTTAAATACAATTTCTGCTTTATTATTTGCACATTTTAATGTGCCGCGTGCACAAGGAGAAAAATGGATGGTTTTGGTTATTGGGTTTGTGTTTAAAAACGCTTGATATGGAAGAAAACAGAAATAAAAAAAACCTTACATTTTAACATTTAAGGTAAATTATCATTTTTAATATTTAAATCTTAAGATTTAACATTTCATTTGGATGATTAATGTTTGGAATGGCTTTCTAAGTAAGTAAGCAAATGAAGTAACTAATAAATTTAATTGTTAAATAAAGTCTATCTGCTACAATTTCAGAGATTTTATTTATTTTTTCTCTGTGCACCCAGTTCATGATCTGGGCTACAGTCCCGCATAATTGTCACGCCGCATTTGTGAAATAATTCTTAAATAATTTCATCAATTACGTCGCCCAGCTGCACAGTGTCGGTTGCTTTGGCTGCCTTTGCTGTTTGTTTTTTTTTCTGCTCTGTTATTTTCTCCTTTTTTTTCAGCTGCTCCTGCCTTGGTTGCCATTTCAATTATGTTGATATTTATTTTCATATTTAATTTAACACGGGCGGCGGTAGAAGGAGCGCTAGAGAGAAGGAGTGGAAAGTGCGGAAAGAAACGGCAGCAGCGGCAGCAGCAGCAGCATTTGGAAAATCCATTTTACAGTAAAAACCGCATGCATTATTTAATTTTTAAGTGAAATCAATTACAAGCTCGTTGGCTATGTAGCCTGTGGGGCGAAGGGGGCGTGGCGGGTCGGCTGAGGGGGCGGGGTGTCTGGTCTGGGCAGGGCTTTTGATGTTAAATGCCAGCCGCCGCCGACGGTGCCATCGATGTTGTTTCTGCATTGCGTGTGTGTATGTGCGAGTGTGCGTGCGTGTGTGTGGGGGCGACGGAAGTGCGCATAAATGCAATTGCAGTCGAATAAATAAATAAAAATATTTTGTGCCATTAAATTTCAATTAATAACAAGGCAAACACACACACGTGCGGCGCATCAGTTGACAGCGACTCTTTCGGGCTGCAATATTAATACATTTTGGCAGCGGTGCGTGCACGGCGCGCTGATTGGCAAGCCCATGAAATTAAGTCACAAATTAATTAATTAATGCAATCAATACGTTGGACATTTGCATTGCCTCCTTGGTTGCTGGTGATTCGCTGCTGGGGCTGCAATCGATGTCACTGCATGTGGGCAACATTGTAATATGCAATTTGCAATTACAATTATGCCTTGCCTGACTGCAAATGCCGCTGCGAGTGCAACTGCTACCAGCAGTAGTTTCTTGCACTCTAAATATAGTCTCAACTGGGCCATTAAGGTCGCAAGTATTACACTGGAAAATATTTTGAGTAACAAGAAAAGAATACTTAAAGGGGTATGCACCTCATAATATAAATAAATATTCTAAATGCAATAAGAAGCTATTAAATATTTTATGCTGGATAACCTTTAACCTTGTCATGTTATTAACCTAAAAAATCGTTCTTTTCAAGAATTTCTTGATTGTTTTTGAGTTGAATTGAAAGGTTATTCAAAGTATTATCCATAATTGCCGTAACTATCATATTTGCAAGTGCACAAATTGCCTTCGCCCAAGTCTGGAGCCTCTCTCACACAATCGAACGCCCCAACAGGAGTCCAGCACGCCATGGCGAACATAATTTTTTAATGGACTTTTAATGTCTGTCGCTTGTGCGGGGGGATTTTCACTGGAGGAGAGTTTGTGTATGTGAGCGCCTTCCTTTCGTAATGTTTTTTCGGGGTCAGCTTTTGGGGCTGCCTGGGCACAATTAGCGACATTTTGTGCCCGACATGTGTAAACCGGCGCGAGAGGTGGGCTTTCCCGGCTATTTTAGTGTGCTGTCAGTTTATTAGTCAACGCCTCGCTTGTGCGCCAGTCAATTAGAGAGAAACAAGGCTTCGATGTTATTAAACGGCCAGTAGTTGGTATTATCATAGCCACGGCTAATGGGTTCAACCAAAAACGGGTTTCTGTAGATCAATGCTTAAATCAAGTGAGATTTTGCATAGCTGGTCGTTTTATAAATTAAATTCAACTTCGCAGAAACTGAAAAAGTGGTGTTTAATACTCATCTACTTTATAATTTATTTCTGAACTCAAAAAATAACTTAAAAAACTTACACAATTTTGAAAATCCAAAAGTCTACTAGCGCCACCTACACGGTCAACGATTTAAAGCGCCACCTACATGACAGCGCATTCCCTCAAGCGCCATCTATATTTAATAACTGAATCGGTTAAAGAATTAGTTTCGAAAAGATTTCGGTAGGGGCGCTACCAGATTAAATAAACCAAAACTTAAAAAAACAGTTGATATTTTTCAAATATTCCGCTACAAAATCCGCCTATTTAAAAACCCGAAAATAATACAAAATATTTGGTTTATGTTTTTCGCATTTCCATAATATGTACTTTTATTGCGTTTTCCTTTATAACGGGATATTGTATTTATAGACACATATAAAACTATAGTACATAGTATCGTGTATATAGTTATGTATATTGATCGGTGATCTTAGGGCACATCCATAAACTAATGATAGTGATAATAACTCCGATTTTACACCGCACAAGGTTTACAATCATACATTTTTAAGGGATCAAAAGACACATTTTCAGGTAATTTTGTGTCGATCGATCAATATCTGAAGCCAAATGAATCGTTAACTTCCGACAAAACTATTGAGTGGCAAAGTGGCCTTGATGGTTGAGTGTATTTGGGGTTAGTACTTTAACTTAAGTTTAAAGAATTTGACTAGTTGAATTTGCTTTACACATTTTAAGGTTTGCTTTTTGCTGTTTTCTGTTTTTCCCAAATATATATAGTATTCCTTTTAACATATTGCCCAGACTACAAACTAATTAACATTAAAGACATTTGGAGTGCCGTAAACGTAGATCTAAACTTTAGCAAGTGAAAACGTTTAAGATATACTTTGTGATATTTACGTGTGTTGAGTATTTTGGATGTTAGATTTCAATTGTAGTAGAAGTATGCGTATAAATTAGGACCACGTATAAATATAATACAGTAAACTAAATCGTTAAGACTAAGTCGAGAACTAAATTAAGAAACCTACTAAGTGTATGTACAAGAATATATTCTCTCTCTGGTCAAGCTCATAATTGTGGTCCTTGGGTTCTGTTGGATTTTCTGCGTAATCGTTGGGTTTTTTCGAAGTTGGGGAGCCATTATCTTCCTCCTCAGCTATCAAATATTTACGTATAAATGCGTCAGTTTTGCGACAGACAACGAATACAGCGAACATCCATCAAATTGGGTCGTTATCTTCTATATATATTGATCATTTAGACCTTGCTTTCGGGTCCATCGGCCACGTGTTTGAAGGCCAATCGAATGCGGGACAAGTAGTGAGAGCAAATGTGTCCGTAGTTCTTGTTGTACCACTCGGGTGTTTTGCCCCTAAAAATAGGCAATTATTTGGTTATTGGATATGTTATATTATATTAAATTCAAATATAGAACTCACTTCACATCCACTCTGGCCAGATGCATTACCCTCGATTTACCGCTGCCACAGGGTTCAATGAGATACCTCGAGGCTAAAACCACGCCCCTTACCGCCCCGAAAAGAGGCTTGGCCTTGGCATGATCTATGGAGGTTTCCACTATAACGCAGGCACCGCGCGGCAAGTCCGTTTGCCAGGAACTGAAACATAAGATTATAATAAAATTTGATAAATGAATTAATTAGTTAAATTAGTTATTTTTACCGCAATACACAAAAGTCCGTAATCAGTTGTCCATCCACCGCATACTGATAAATCTCCGTGCGTTCGTCTAGTTTCTTGACCGTCTGGAACTCCAGTAAATTTGCATCCCAGGAAGCCCGCTGCTTGATCACGTATTCAAGGACCTCTCTTGGGGGTCCTTCAACTTCTGTTGCGCATCGCCAAAGTCTGAGGGGATGGCCATCACCCACCTTCTTGTAGGCAATGTCCACATTGTTGTCGTTCAGCGAGTTTATGCTAAACCAACCGCGGGTTCTGTAAATATATAAAAAATACGTAAATAAAAATATATAAATAACTATAATCATTAAAATATAAAAATCATTAAGATATAGTCAACATGTTTCTATTGTGTTAAGAATTTCTTTCTCATTGAAAACATTGATTCAAAATCTTTTCTCATGAATTTGAACAAGTAAAGCGTTTAATTTTCAATGAATTGCTTTTAAAATAAAGTTTCTGGCGAATCTTTAATTTGTAGTGTAAATATTTTTACAGAATTTTTTTTAGTTATTTAAAAATCAGTAAAGTTTGGATTTTTTTTTAAATCATACTCACTTTTCTCTGCCCTCCTTGATGGTGGCACTGGTGCACTCGTAGAGGTATCCCCTCCAGTTGTGGAACTGCATTCCCTCGCCGAGAGCCTCCAGAGGAAGTGGCTTGGACTCCTCCATGTAGCTGAAATTGCACTTGCCCAGCTTCTCCTTCGAGGCCGTGTAGATCTGCTTGTAGTGCTCGATCATGAAGGAGAGGCACTCGTGGGAGGCCTTCGCCTCGGCCAGCTCCTTCATGTCCGGCATTCCGGATCCCTTGCCCTTGCGACGCGGCGATGCGGAAACGGAGGCGGAACCCGTGGAAATCGAGGAGTGGAATATCGATTGGGCCAGGCACACGCCCAGATTGTTGCTGGTCATCTGGTTCTGTTGCGAATTGGCGGCCACAATGGTGAGGAATTCGAGCAGCACGTACAGGATTTCCCGGTTTTCATCGGGCAGCAGGAGCACGGCACATTGAACGGCATCCAAACGGACTTCAGCAGGGAGATCTGAGGTTTAAAAATATAGGATTTTAATATAGAAAAGGTGTATGTATTAAAAGTGATTGGGATAAGGTCAGAAAAGATGATTTTAAAGTATTTAATTGGTACATTTTTTTTAAAGGATTCTTAGAGGTTTCTGTTGGTTACTCTTTCATATTTTTAATGATTTTAAAGTTCCTCTTTCTATTTTTATTTATTTATAAACTTAGCTTTTATCTACTTACGTTGAAAGATGGCCACAAAGGTCTCGGACATCTTGGTGGTCAGCAGAGATTCGGGCAGCTCGCGGAAATACTGTTTCAGCATGTCGGCCACATCGTAGGCCTGTTGCAAATCGAAAACATCCATGCACTCGGCGGTGGAATCCGTGACTTCAATTTGCTCCCGCAGCTTGATAATCCGAGACTTTCCACCGCTTTTCCGGAAAATTCCCACCTGATCCAAAGCATTCAACTGCAGCCAGCGGAAAGCTGCCCTCACAGCCATCGGAAGGGTTTGTCCGCTTCGCTGGAGGATCATTAATAGAGGCACTCCGAACACCTTCTTGTCCTTGTAGTCCGGCATCTTGATCTTCTTGATGAACTTGGGCAGTTCCCAGTTCCAACCCGATCGATGCGAAGGGCAGTAACGCTCCATGTGACCAGTTAAGGTGACGAGTGCCAACTTCCGGATGATTTGCAGCTGACCCGCTGACATGGAGGCAAATGGAACTCCACCATCGTCCTCTTGCAGTGGTTCGATTTTCTTGGAGAAACACTTGCGGAAGATCATGTTCGGACGCTGCTCCATTTGGAAACTGTGCCAGCGAACCACCGGCTGACGTTTTGAGCCACCATTCGTGGCTCCACCCGCTTGCTCCTCATCGTTTTTGGGTTCCTTTCGCGAGGTGCTCCTCGAGCGGAAGGATGATGAACGGAATCCCTCTCGTTTCTTGGGATCCTTGCCCAAGTTCAGTGAGCCTCCCCTCGTTAACTTCTTCACCTTGACCTCGGTGGTATTGGAATTGGCGTCCTTGATGAGGAGTTTGCGTCCCTGATGACATTCGGAATCGGAATGGGCTCCAATGTCATCGACTTTTCCCGTTCGCTGCAGGAATCTGCGAGCCTTGGAGGGTTTCCTCAAGGATAACTTGCCACCAGTGGACGACTCCTGACTGTCGCTGTAGTAGGAAGAGGAGTCATCCGATTTCCCCTCCTTCAATTGGGACATTGGACTCGAGAAGAAGTGCAGCGGACTGGTTCTCATCGATCGCGGAGTGGTGGGTGTCCTTTTCGGACTGGAGCGATTGGGACTGAGGAAGTTGTCGCTGTGGCTGGGCACTTTGAGGTCGTTGCCGAAGAACGGCGCCTTGGGGAATGTGTGCATGGGACTGAGGGCCGAGGGGGAGGGCGGGGTGGAGTACACGGCATCCGGTTTGCGCAGACTGCTCCTCTGGCCGAATTGCGAGAGATCCAGGGTCTGCGGTCCACTGATCACCACATTCTCGCGATTCTGTCGCTTGCGACGTCGCGATTTGATGGACTCCACTCTTCGCAGGAGAGCCTTGGCCTGATCCTTGATCCTCTCGCTGCCACTCCTCCGCAGGCGACCGCTATCCGAACCCTCTCCTAGGGAGGAACCATCGGTGGCACCAGTGCTCGTCTTGCTGCATCCGGGAATCACCAGAGTGATGCCTGCTCCATCCTCCTCGAAGCGATCAGGGCTGGACTCCTTGGAGGAGCTCTCCGTCTTCTCCACGTTGAGGCTTAAGACTCCGGGAGGAGGCAGTTCGAGGCCCATCTCCCCGATCCGCGACCAGCGGCGAATGTGCGGTTGGAATGTCCAGTTCTCGCTCAAAGCGAAGTTCTCGTCATCCGATTCCTCCTTTTGCTAAACAAAATAAGAAATTAATAAGAACAATGCAGAGTTTAATAAATGCATACAAATTATGTTTAAATTTTGAATACATTTTACTTAAGGGATTCAAATTTAATTAATAAATTTACTTTGAAAATATATAACTACTGAGCAATCACATTTAATTCGTTTAAAAGACTGGTTTGATAATAACAAGAATTTAATGTAGAAATTTTTGATTGAGAGTATAGCTTTGTATCACCATTTATAGAACTTGATTTTTTTTTGTACACAAAGTAATCTTTTTATGAAGTTCACATATATCCTTTTGTAAAAAGAGGAATGATTTTGGGATGAGTAATTTCTTTATTGAGTGGTTTTTAATGGCGTAACTGCAAATACTTCTATAACTTGATTCTCTTTAAATATCCTTTCAAGTTTTATATAGAGTTTAAAGTGGATTTGTATATCTTACCTGTGGTGTCTGCGGCTTGTGGGACTGGTCGAGCCGCATGGTGGCACAACGGTTGAGGACGCAGAGCCGGCGGTACAGGGACTGCAGCTGATCGTTCTCGAGATTGGTGTGGTCTTTGGCTACATTGGTCAGATCGATCGGGAACTGGTGATCTGCAAGAAGGACACAGAGGCAGGATGCCAAAGGACAACTATTATAACTGGATGGATGGCGAGTGAGGTTTTGTGACCGCTCGTCTCGACGACGCGTGAAATTCTAATTGAGAAACCTGAAAAGTCGAACGCCCATGGCGCCAGCAGCAGGCAGCGATCATTAAACGGGTACGAGTCGGGTTGCCTCGTATATATGCGATATACTATAGTAGTCTGCCATCGGGCAGCTGAATTTTCACAGCGTTTTTCCACATATTTGCGTGGCCAATTCGCACGTAGGAAATCAAGTTCCAAGGCGACCGCCGCCTCGGCCACAAAAAAATAAAGCAGCAACAAAACAAACAAACAAACAAAAAACTGAAGCAACAAAAAACAAAAAAAAAGAAGGAAAATGAAAAGATTATACGCAGACGTTTACACATGTCGCGACGCGTCACACAGATACAAATGAAACTGCGATAGCGCAGATACACGGATACCCAGATACATTTGCATCTGCAGCTGCAGATAGCACTGCTCGACATCCGTAGGATGCACGCTGCCTGGAAAAGCTGCATTGTTCGCACAAATATTGTTAGCATTACAACAATATTTTGTTCTTCTTTTCTCGAAGAGCCATTCATGGTTTGTTGAACTTTCGGCTCAAAAGTAACGCCCAACTCGCTTCGTTCTTTCTTTCTTTCGTTCTGTGGCTCCTTTCAGAGCTTTTTATAGTTTTGTTTACGCTCCTCGAGCGCCTTTCTTCGACGCTCTTGGCCCTGCTGCGTATTTAAAAGCCCATTTAGGATGCTCCCCATTTAAACAGTCGAGTGTTGTGTGTTTAGTTTCCAATTGAAGGCATAAACAAATTGGGGAAGTGTGCCACTGCCACCAAGTGTTTCCCATTTGGAGTTGGAAAACTTATCTGACGTCAGAAGGAAATTATTTGGGCAGACGATGTAAGTTTTTCTGGGGCCTATTTCCTCGAGACTTTTCACAGTTTACACGAGATTGAAAACCGGGGGCATTCATTTATTGGGCCAATTATATGATTAATCTTTTTTCTCAGCCAATGACGCAGATTGCAGTGAAATTCGAATGTAATTAGGCACAATTTATGGCTGTTTTGGGGAAAATATAGAAGCAATTAGCCTGGAATCTAAATTAGGATGCGGATTTCACTCGAATATAGAGCAATGGGGTCTCCATGAAACAATTATTGTTTAGACTTTGCCTGATGTTTTAATAATGTCTCTGGCAAAGGAAGCAATTAATAAAGTTAATTGGTTCCGCAGAAAAATTAAAATGGGTTATGATTCTATGTTTTACGAACCACAAATGAAAGGATTTAATAAGGAGATGGTAATTGTTTTGAAAATTAATTTAAAGTATTAAATTTTCTTCGAAATATGTGATACTTTATTGGATCACCAGTGAGTTATTTACGCAACTCCTCGAGTTCCGTGTCTTGGCTGTTTGGCTCCCAGGAAAACCGGTTGTTTTGGACCAAAAATCGATTGCCTTGGCTGCATTAAACAAGCCTCATGAGCTCTTATTGCCCTCTTAAGCACTCCCATGTGATCCTGGCCCGGTGCAGGTCACACCCTCGAATTAAGTCTGCCACTTTCGGTGAGTAATGTGCGCAAGAAATGAGCAAAAAGACAAACAAAGGCTGGGGGAAAATCAGCTCAGCTGCATCCTCCTCATTCCCATCCTCCTTTTTTTTTGGTTTTTTTTTTTTTTTGTCCTGGGCCCATGGGCAAATTAACAGTCGCTTACAGCCGGAACACCTCCTTTCAGCGGCCGAGTGCTACGGGCCAGGCCAAAATGACAGAGCAGCGAGTGGCTTACACACCTACGGCATTTTAATTTGCAGATCCAAACTCCGAAAAGAATCCGCCAAATGCTCAGGAAATTTGAGCAGCAATCTGCGCATGCGCCGCTGCCCTTTTTTTTAATTTCTTACACGAAACTCATTAAAATACGCATTTATCATGTTGTCCCCGGTCAGGAGAGATGGTCATGCAGATGGGCTTGGGATTCGGATTGGGATTGGGATTGGGCCTGGAATTGAAGCCTCTTCTTGGGTTGGGCTCCAGTTTAAATGTGCGCACAAATTATTCCATATGTTACGAATTTATGGTTTGGCTTTAAGCACTCAAAGAAATATATAAAACGGAAGAGGAATAAGTTTGTCAGTAAGCAATCCTTTTACATAATGGAACTTCAGTTCTTTAGCCCAGCAAATACCTTTTTTTTTATTTTGAAACATACATTAAAATAAATAACTCTTTTTTCTCAGTGCTTAAGTTTCTTGAAATCGGTTCTGGTCTTGAATTTATGCAATACAATTCGCATATTTCAAGGTCGGCGACAGGGCGCCTGCGGACATACCCAAAATTGCAGGCTCTCCATTTCAGATTCACTTTTTGGTCTTCGCGCTTGTTCTTCTGCCGGCCTCTTGCTCATAATTCAAATGAAGTCGGTGAACTTTTTTTTGTTTTGGCCTTCTGCCGAGTTAAAGAACGTACTTTTCGGGTTTGTTTGTTTGAATGCGGCGGAGATCATCAATCTGCGAGGCCTCCAGGCGTTAAATGCGTTGCGACAAATGCTCAGGAGAAGAAGGGTCGCCTTCGCTCGAGATTAAGGAAATCAAATAAATATGCAGCTTGGCCCGGGTTCAATGAACTGATACTAACATTTTGGCTGTAGGTTGTACTCGGTTAGCCGCTCTTCAAAGGCCAAAGCCCTTTCTTAATAAAAAATAAGGGAAGGGGTACAAAATACAACCGCAAAGCATTTTAATTTTCGGTTCTGTGCGGAGTTTTTTATACGAAGGTGGTCCTCATAAATTCTTTTGGCCTGCGTGTCCTTTAGCCTTTTATTATATTTTATCCAGGTTTGGTTGTTTTTTTTTTTTGGTTTTTGCCAACCTCTTGAGTTTTTTGTTTTGCTTTTATTTGTGGTTTGTGCGTTGCTTTTGGGTAAATTCTTAAGATTGCCCTGATCTGGAAGGAAGGCGTTGCTGGGCTTTCGTTTTCGCTCGAAAGCACTTGGATAGAATGGGATCGAATACGGGGATCTGGGGTTCCGGGGATTCGGGGATCCATTCAGCCTAATTGTTGTCGCGGTTTGTGCCGCGTGTTTGGGATATCAAGTTCGCTATCATGTTTGGGGCAGCTCTTTGTCTCGACGGGTGTTGAAATCTTTAGACGTCGTCGTCGTGAGCCGGCACTTAAATTGTTCTCGATTGTTGCCACGTCATAAATGTTTTGTTTTTGCCTTGGCTTGGCTTAGGGGAGTTTTTTTTTTTATTTGTTTCTCCTACTTGGTCGGAGCGGCGAAAGTGAAAGTTCGTGTAATACAATTAATAAACTGCCACTTGGAGAGCGTTAAGCACACAAGACTAAATGGCGGGCATGTTGGTCAAGTGGCTTGCTCGCCGCTGCTGCGTCACTGGCGATGACGATGACGAGACCATCAATTACTAACCGCTAGCCAGCCAGCCAGCCAGCCTGCCACGCCCCCAGGGCAACAGCATGCTGACACGACATGCACTTGGAGAAAAGAAGACTACGAAAGTCGAGTCAAGATTGCATAACAGCTCTTTGAAATGTATGTTCAAAAGAAAATATTTGAATTTAAATTTTTTGAGGCCACTTGTTACTTACATCCATTGCTATAATAAGTGTCTATCTTATAATTCTTAAAATATATGTTAATTTGGAAAAAACTAATAGATAATAGAATTATCCTGTACTGATTAAGTTTTCTATAAATAACACCTAAAAACTATGATCCTTCTTAATCACTAATCTTTACTGATTTCCGTTTTATAAAATGCTTTTAAAATTCCAAAATACATATAAGGGAGTAAAAACTGATAGTAAAGAATCAAAAAGAAATATCGCAAACTAAAAAAAAATCTTTGATAAGTTATTCTTATAAACTGATCCCTATAATTCTCTAATAATTTTTACTCATTTCTGTTTTCGAGAACGCTACTTGAGGCCTTGAAGTATATGACCTTTCTCCTCAAAATTCTTCTTCGATTTCAAAAGACTTTTTCCCAGTGCCTCGCGAAATGGAAGTACATAGTAGTGGGGGTAAAATGGGGGGTTGTGGTTCGCACTTACCTTCGTACATCTGTGCATACTGCGGAAAACCTGCAGCGCGCAGCCATTTGCAAGCCTCCACCGCTTCGATTTCTGCAAGAGGAAGAGAGAAGGAGACAGTCAGACAGGTGAGTATGCGTTTCCATATTGCGTATACGCAGCGGAGGCAGCGAATGAAATTATTTGTAATTAAGTTGCCCATGCGAATCCTTTTTGCCCCACCAAATTCAATCCGGGTGGACTGGAAAACCAATTAAGCGTCCTGGTCAAGAAGCCGTCACCAAAGTCTGGACTCTGTCGGGGTCACTTGATGGATTACGTTGTAAACCGTCGAAATGGAGTTGACGTTTTAAAATTATGTGGCTGCGGTCAGCGGACATGGTCTTAAATCGTTCCTCGACTTCCTTACCTTCAGTTAAAGTGGCATGAAAGTAAAATCTTTTTTTTACGGCACTTGAAAGTGAAATGGTTCTTAAAGCGAGTTGAAGACGGATTTGGCAAAGTCAGAGGGATAAAGCTGCTTATTTATGCCGGGCTAATTTGAGACGAGAAGACAAAAGAAGCCACTGAACCGCAAATAACAGATGTATGTAAGTCATACTTTTTTATGAGTCTAGGAGCCACAATGAATTCAAATCGAATTCTCATCCAGCTTGTTTGGAGACAAAGGCCAAAGCCAAAGGCACTTGGCCTTAGCTATTTTAAATGCTAATCTGCTTTTTTCTTCGCTTTCCTCAATTCGAGTAACAGGATCTGGCGACAGAGCTATTGATTTTTAATCAGCCCCAGCGACAACATGAAACAGTTTCCGGCTGCTTACTGCCGTCAGGAAAATATGAACCAACCTATGTCGAATTGAGGAAAGCAGGAGGAAGAAGGGCGGCTTGTATCGTTGAGTGAATTATTATTGAGTTTTGCAGGCGATTAACTTGCACGAGGATACCGCCCGCAGAACGGGCCACTGGAGCGAATGTGGGGGCACCTGTCCAGGTGTCCAGGAGGCCCTCTTTTCCTGGACTCCACCTCCTCCACTTCGAACGGGTTGAGCAGTCTCTGGCGGTTATTTATAAACGAGAGCAACCCCCTGGCCATCGATTTATGCTGCTGGCATTCTGACAGCTGCTCGCCGGACGCACGACCCCCAATATCCCTCTTCCGTTCCGCATCCTGGCAGCCAGGATGTTCCAGTTCAAGCGACAGTCAGGCAGTTCGACCTGACCCAAGGAACCACTGACAACTGGTCGAAGCATTATGCATGCAAATTGTGGGCGAAAATAGAGCAGCATATGTGATTATGGGTTGATTATTGCGTTGAATCAACTGTTTTGTTATTTGATTTCGTTTGTTTTGCTGAACTGTAATTATTCCATTGGTAATCCAATATCAGAAACCACAAAATTGTTAAGGGAAATGTGCTATGCAAAAGAAGCTTAAAAAATGTACAATTTTTAATTTAAAAATATGTATTTAAATATAAAAATATAGTAGATTAATCACAATTAAACCATTTAATTATAATCCTGATAAAGCTTATCCATTTTATAAACAATTTTTTCAGTCATCAATTAATCTTTATATAAACAACTTATTTTTATACACATGCCAGCGATTAAAGTTCAAGTGGTTGCAATTACTATCCTGCATTAATTATCCCACAATTGGCAACTTTTGCGTTGGCCGTAATATTTGCCCGTAAATGCCACTTGAGCGTGGTTGAAATTGCGCATACGCCACGTTGACGTGCCAGGCGCAAACTCATCTAAAAGCCATTTAAAGCGAGTAAAACAATGCGGAGGTGTGTGTGTGTGTGTGTGTGAGGGGTTCACTCACAGCTTATTGCGTCAGGTTCAATATTTGTTCCTGTTCACCCACACACACATACACGCACACCCACACACACACAGTACCGCCCAGTTGTTGTCCTTATTGTCCTTTGCTTTCCCATTTGGTAACCTTCCCCCTTTTCCCCCCGCACAACAACGAGGTTGTTAAAAACATTTCCCAACAAGCGACGCGTAAATTCATGAACTTCACCTGCGCCCAGGATAATAATTATTCTGATGGACCCAAACAATGTGTGTGTTTTGGGGGGAAAGCGGGGAGTTTGGGGGGCGTTTGCAACATGAGACGATGCTGATGATCGGGGCTTTTACGATGAGCCCGACTGACCTTAAGGCTAATTAAAAAATATATAAAATGCCAGGCAGTCCGCCTTTTTCTACGGGGGGTGCTTACGACGAAAAACACATTCTTTTCTTTTTCCTACTTGTGCATTCTGTGAACTCTGGTCTTTAAATTTGTCGGTGATTATCTAAGTGTTATCCAATTTCAGTCTTGATTTGGGTGAATAACAAAAATTCCAGGAAAATATACATCAAGTTCTTCCGGCAAAAGCTTGGCAGTATTTAAGCTTATAGTTTTGATTACCAAAATTCTATTTTTAATGGCTTAACGTTGTTACAATCATCTATATATTTTTCAATTAAGAAAAGATTAAAGCGCTTGGTAAAATTTTTAGGATAAATATTTCTGATGCCCAATATCAAATTGTGTTCAGCTTAATTGCTTTAAAATTCTATTGAATTTTCGTCTCCATTTATAAATGCGTTACACCAAGCTTGTCTGTCAACTGGTTTTCCTTTCCCCCAAAATTTTGCATAGATAATATTTTCTTAGCCCGATCTCGAGATTGTTTGAAGCCACCTTTGTTGCCATAGTTTCAGCTTGCTGTTCACTAAATTTGTTTAAATTTTCAATTAAAATTTGCATTGATTTCCAGAGGCGCCCACAAGGACCGCAATGAGTAAAAGTCAAAGCGGCTTTCTCTTTCTCGCTTCTCTGTTTTGCGGGGAGCGAAACGAAACGAAAGGCAAGGAAAGTGTCGATGAAAGCAAAGTTCCTAACACAATTGCCGAAGATTTTATCCTTCGCTTGGAAAATTCCCCTCATTGTGTGCGTGCGTGTCACTGACACGCATTGCTTTCGAGTGTATTGGTTAGTATGTGTGTGTGAATGTGAATGTGCTCCAGAAAAATGCAGCCAAGCAGAGAGAGGGATGACATTGTGTGCGGATGACAGACAACAGCGAACAACCGACTTGGTTATGCAAAAGGATTTGGCCATGTGTTTCCATAACTGCCAGGCCTTTGTTACGCACGGCTAAAACTTTAAGCTGGCTTAATATAATTAAAAAGGCTCGCAAAAGCCTCGCAAAAGCCTCCTCTGTAAAAGCCTCGACCTCAGTTCGAACAAACATTCTACATTGTAAATCGATTTGGGTTGACACTAATTGATGGCTAATTCAATTGCCACCGGCCTGCCGAAACATTATTCAGCAATTTCATTATTTTTCCCGCTAAACGATTTCATATGCCAATTATGCTGCCATATAAACAGCAAATTGCATCGCCCCAGGAGCTGCAAAACAATGCAATTTGGTAGCCAATAATTGTGGTAAATGCACAATGCAAATGAACCGGCTATGCTCGTACTTCCCATTAGATAAATAATTGTCGTAGGTGTCGTGGCTTTAATTAATGGCTCGCCATTGGCAAGCTGCGCGCGGATGTTTTATTGAATGCCACCGCATTCAAATGTCAGGCGGAACATAAATTCAGTCACCTTGTCCACCAACAAAAAAAAGAGAACGCCGGCAAAAGTGGATTATTAATTATAAACTGCATCCCAGAAATAGCTTGGAATCCTTGGAAGCGAGCACAGTTGAACTTGTGATTTTCAGTTTTGTTTTCGAAATAGAGTTGTTGGGCCAAACGAGGCGAACATAAATAGACATGTGCACACTCCTTTCCTCTTCGCTGGGCACACAAAAGCCTCCTGCCAGCAAACTGTTGCCTGTTTGCCAGTTTGCCTGTTGCCAGCTGCCTGGCGAAAGGATACGGCTATTTATAACATTTCTGGGCCGTAAGTGTGTCTCCCTTCTAACCAACTCCCTTTACTTTTTTTTCCGCCTGCCTTTCGAACGGGTGCAACAAGTGGCGGAGCTCGTCAGTTTAATTTGCTGTGAATTCAACGATGGGTGGAGCTGCTCACATCGCCAGGGGCAACCGTTTGGAGGCCTCGAATGTAATTAGGGGCCAAGTACCTGAATTCCCCTCGGGAATTCTTCGGCCAAATATAACAGATCATTGAGCTTTTAATGCGCCTTTAATGTCAGCGTATTATTTGCGGCAGGTTTCCTGCTGAGCGGCAGCCACCATCGCGTTTCGCACACAATAAAAATAACCGAATTTCGCATTCGCAAAGAAAAAATAATCAAACAATAACAGCATAAAACAAAACAAAACAAAGCAGCCGCCGAGAATGGAAAGTTTACTATATATATTGCTATAACCCAAAAAAAATGGCAAAGGAAAATTAAATGAAATTAAACAGCAGCAAAGAGCAGTGGCTTTCAGGTGGTTCGTTATGAATTTTCCCTAAGGGAATGACCAAATAAAGAACAAGGAAGCCTGAAATTCCCTGTCATAAACATTCTTATCGAATTGGCCATTCAGTTTTGTATATTCATCTTTAGCGTCATCTATATGGTATATTTATATTTTTTGGAGGCACGAATCGTGGAGGCAGGTACGACTTATAAGTAAAACAATTTCCCGCATTTTTTACCCGTTCATGAATATCCATATTAATTGTATAATAATTTCTTTTCATTTATTACTACACGCAAACAGTTTTTTTTTATTTAAATGAATGGCTTTGCTTGACTGACGCGCAATTTCACTAGAGTGTAAAGAAAACGGCGAAATTTGTAGATGATGATCATAATAATGATTGTTATTATCATCAGTGAGGTGTTTATAACTGGCTAACTGAATGGCTAACTGACTGACTGGATGATTGACTGGCTGACAGAATGCCAGTGACAGAGAGGCTGAGCACTTGTTGCAATTCCTCTCGCCATATTGATATACGTAATCCCAAACTAGCGGGCGAATAATTCGATTTAAATGCGAGGCGTCGACTGATAAGTACAAGCTGTGTGCTCTGGAAATAGCCGTGCCCCGCATTCCCGTTACCAAAAATAAACGGTCAAAAGCAGGAGGGGGTTCTGATTTGCAGGCGGGGAGGAATCAGGGGGATCCCCTTGTGGGGTGCCGAAAAACCATAAACAGCCAATTGAGTGGCGCGCGCGCATTCCAAGCCACCGAAAACACAATGATCCAGACACGCATATTTCCATAATTGTAAACAAAGTATTTAATAATTTGCCAGCAAGCAAAACAAATTTGCCCTTGAAGCAGAGCGAACCACTAATAAAGAATTAAGATTTTTTAGATAAATAAATTCATAAATTCAGGAAGATTAGTGTATCTTTTAAGTACCTACTTCAAAATGAAAATCTATTTCAAGAAACTAGAAAGCTTTTGTGTTGAATTGAATTTAAACAATCAAAGTATTTTATGCCTTTGGCTGTCATGTACCAATATATCTTCTGCTAATAAATCTGACGAAAGGGAAAGTCTTTTTTAAGTACTTTTTCCCCCTTTAAATATTCTTCCTCTTCTTTAGTTCAACATCTTTTCCGCTCGGTAAATGCCACTTAATGCTCACCTGCAATCTTGCGTTCGCGCATTTTCCGCCATAATGCCTCGGCCTTGCGTTTTGGCCAGTTCTCGAACTTCTGCGAGAAGCTCCTGAAGAACTTGTACTCCCGTATGGTAACGGACATGCGGCGTTGCATATTGGCCAGTTTGGGCAGCGCCGTCTTGAAAAAGCACTCACAAGTGTGATTTCACCGGACGAAAAAGAATTTTTTAATTATCCGCTTCAGAACGGATTTCTTGAATCGTTTTCTACAAAGAATTACACTACAAAACACTTCATTTTGAGAACACAATGCACTTCTCTCCTCTTAATTTATTTATTTTCCCCCTTTTTTTTTAGAAGCTATTTGTTTTGATATTTATTTGGTTTGGGCTTTAAGTCGGCGGCGTCGACGCGCTCCACCCGAGTTTTCCACTCGCTGCGGCCACGAGAATATCGACAACCGTGCACGGCGCCTGTAAGAGCACTAATGAATTTGCAACCGACTCGGTTTTCCTTTCAGCAAATGGCGAGCCGACCGCACGAATCGTTTGCCCGCCCGAAGCGTTCAAAGCACGAGCATGAGCAATACTCTTACAGAAGCACACGAGGCGTATGAACAACGGGGCGTATGAACAACGGGGCGTATGAGCAACATGGATGTTCTACTAGCCGCCGCTGCTGCTGCTGCTGCTGCCATTTCTTCTCGTGCTTCTTCAAGGGCCAAAAGGTATTGTTCGCCTGAAATGGTCGGTTGGGTTGGGTGGGAAGGAAGGGAAGGGAACTTCCTGGCCCGTGTAACATAGAGTTATCGGCGCCACAATCGCTTATTATTATTTTCCCTGGTTTTGTTGGCCAGGGCCACGGGCGAACAAATAAATAAATAAATGAATAACTGTCATGTTGATGATGCTTATTTCATTTCCATGTTCGCCAAAAGGACTCACGTCGGCTTATGTTCTGCCCGCTTTACTTTGTTTTACGAGCCGGCATTCATTAAAATTTATACGTTTATATGTACGTTGGCATGTGAAAGTTTCAAGACACTGACAACCGCACCTGTTGCGTTCAACTGAAAAGCAGCAGTGGGCGGTGGTGTGTGTGTGTGTTTGTGGGTGGGTGTGGGGGAGGCGTGGCCGTGTGTTTTGTGCACAGTTGGTTTGGCACAGTTTCTGTACGGAGGAGTGCGCTCAAGGTTAAGCTTTTGCCTGGTTTTATGATTTATGGCGAGTTAAATAAACGACAGTATTGTGTCTGCGAAAGCTTTGATGATACAGCCGCACATTTGTTTGATATCACCATTGAGTCTTTAGTTATGATTGTTAAAGTGCAAGTCCGTTGTTTTCAAACAGCTGCAATTGCTTTGCTCAAGGATCACGTTTACTTCTCTTTACTTTTCCAACAACAAATAGTCGTATTTTCTGTTTCATCGCAAGCGATTAATTGGATAAACAGGAAAATTATGAGCGAAATCATTGCAAGTCACTCGTCCACGTTATTTCCCATTAATCTACTCCCACTTTTGTCTTTCTGCTTTGGGGCGTGACTTGGTGCGGAAGACGGAACAGCATATGATATATGCAGTATATCAGCAGATATATATATGAGGAACAATATATAAATGCGGGTAATTTGTACTGGTGGCATATCACATATTAATCTTGATATATATGCGAGCGTGTTGATCTTTTCAATAAAGTAAACAACTTTTGGGAGGCTCGCTTCCGTTGAGGAACACAAAACATGGGAATGGTGAACAATGAGATGGTAGGTAAGCCGCCTTAAAGCTGGTCGTTATTGGCAACAGGGCGTATCAGCGATGCAATATGGCACACATAAAATTGGCAATATAAATACGCGTAAGTACACGAGATAATCAACTGAAGGCCACGACCTTTCCAGAGGGCATGTTCTGGTCGCAGAGAAAACGTCATTGTAATGACGTCAGTCGGCGAGGAAATGGCAGGCAAACAGTCGGATAATGGTCATAAAATGACCACCTCTCGTTCCCTGTCATTTTCCCGCCCCCACTGACGTCATCATCGGTGGAGATTGCTACGACTTTTCCGACTTTTCCGACTGCTTTGTATGTGCATAATTCGTTGGGGGCAGTCAGGCTGCAAAAACGAAATTGAATGAGCCCCAACAGCCACTGGAGGACACTTGGCGTCGAGTTTGTGATTCAATTTTTTTCCTTGCCTCCCCCCGTTCATTTATACGCCATTTTTAGCACAATGAGTGCCATCACACCACCATCATCATCATCGCCCGTTGAGTTCTGGTCAAGAGGCAATATGTGGATAGATGCACGAAGGGAAAATGCCACAACAAAATGCCAAGCATAATACAAAATAATATATCTTTAATACATCAAAATCACTCATAAATTTGGTTAATAATTTTAAAGAACTCTATCATATCAAAGAAAAGTTATAATATAATAGAAATTAGTTTACAGATTAAAGATTCTACTAGAGAACTGAAAATGAATATGAATTTCCACCCATAATTTTATCAAGTTATTAACTTTTTGTTTACATTTCCCATACATTGTAATATTAACGACTGCTGGATGATTTATTTTCAGTGCCTGTATGCCACTGGTTGTTTGGACTGTGTGGTGCACGGAATTGACAGATTGACAGCCATTTTCGGCTGGGGTTTGGGTTTGGTATTGTGCCATTTGTATTGAAGTGTTGACGGAAGTGTTGGAAATTCGCAAAAAGAGCTGTTGGCTTGGTACTATAGTACTCTCAGTATTCCACGTTGCCAAGGGAAGAACACGAAAGTAATTTAAATGACGGCCGACCGGCGATTGTTTAACCGAAATGAAAGCAAGAGTTCGAAATTGATTTGCTGACCAAACAACAATCGGCCTGTGATGTGTGGAGTGGCTCCTCCTGTCAGTCGGTGGTTCTTGGACATCACATATATAGATCAGGACCGCGAATAATTATAGAAATTATGAATCATGCCCTCCGACAGACTGTTATTATAAACCACTCAGGCTTAATAACAGACCGCTAATTGGCTGGCAGGACCACCGGCGCATCAAATCGGACATTCAGCCATTCAGCCTTGCAGCCTTTCAGCCTTTTAGCCTCTCAGACTCTCAGCTTCTCAGACTCTCAGCCTTGATGTCCCGACTAGGTCCAGGCCATTTAAATAACTCATTTAGCCGGGCTCTACTGGCTGGCTTTCTGGCTAAAAAGAACCCGTTCGGAACTCTACTCACTACTCACTCACCTGCTAAATAGCGATCACTCTGCGAACGAGAATAGCGCAGTGTCTGTGGGAAAAAAAGAGGGAACGGGGTGATAGAGAATGTCCATTAATGTCTGGTAATCAAGTTGATGCGGGGGCGGGTCGATAATAGCTGCAGGGGATCCTTAAGCGGATTCGGATACCCACTGGTATTGTAATGATTCTCGGCGCTTTTCAAGGCAAAAAATAAAGCATGATAAAGTGCGTAAGCAGCCTTGAAGGGAATAAAACGTTAAGAGCAACTTAAAGGCTTGAGAATTATCAGAATGAAAACAAATTTTTATAAAAATACTAGGTGCTTGAACAACTTAATTTCTGTAGATAAAGCATTAAAAAATTATACAAATTATTGTGTACAATTTAATAATTTAATTTAAATAAATGTAATCAATTTGTAGAACATTACAAGTAGTAGTTGAAAATTGTAATAAATTTTATGGCATTTGAAAGTAAGTGATTAGATTTTTTCTGCTGCTTTTGATCTACTCCCGCATGGTTTCTTTTTCAATTCGAAACACTCACCAAATTCTGGGCGGCAAAGTCATCGAATCTCCTGCTCATCTCGCGCTCCTTCAGCAGCATTGGTGCCGAGTTGGACTTGGTGGAGAGCTCCTGAATGCCACCGGAATCACCCAATCCGCTGTGCAACGAGGCACTGCTGGGCGATGGAAGTTCCACGAAGTGATGCAGTTGATTGGCAACGTTGGCGGAAGGACTCAAAAGCGACTGGAAAGGTTCCTGCCTCAAAATCAACGACAGTTGCCCACGCTCTTTGTGCTTGATGGCATGATGATGGATGGGCAGGACTTTCCGCGGATGCAGCAGAGGTTGTGGCGAGTGGTAATGGTCCAGGGAGTGACTCCTCTGAGTTCTGGGCACCAGAATCGGTGGTGGTGCCGTGTACTTGCGTCGCAGAACCACCGGAGTGGCGGTGACACCACCACCACCACTGGCACTACTTGCATCGCCATCGGTGCAATCGCATTCGCACATCAAAAACTCATCCTGGCATTCATCGTAGTCCTGCGCCTTTCCTGATTTGTCCTTCTCCTCGTCCAACATGTCATCATGTGATTCATTGGCCGCCTCGCCACCACTTCCACACTGACTGAGGACCTCGAGGAGATCGGGATCATCGGAGGAAGCCACCGATCCACTTTTCTGGAACTTCATCTTGCGCAAAACCTCCAAACTGCTCACGGACTCGTTATCCTGGGCACTTCCACCAGTCCTGTGGTGGTGATGATGGTGGTGGTGATGGTGCTGCATGTGGTGGCTCTTCCAGTAGTGCGACATGTCCTTCGGCGGCGTGGCCGTGCCAATGCCGCTCTCGTTGTTATCGTTGTCCAATCCAGAGGAGTCAAGTGAAATGCCCGACTTTCCGGAACTCAGGACACCCGTTGCCTCCTCGCAAGCCGAGGAAGACGAAGTGGAGCTGCAAAGTGTCGATAGCATTAGGACATTGACAAATCAATTCAAAGGGGAGGCCATTACACTTGGAGAACATTTAGGGGATTAAATAAAATTTAACAACTTGGAAAAATATAGTTGTTGATTGAAATTTGATTTAAAATAGATGTTAATATAAATTAAATCACAAATAAAAAAAAATAATAAAAGCAATAAGGGTTTTATTAATTTGCAGAAATTTAATTTTTTAGGGATATTTATTTTAACGATTTTAATTTTAATTTTAATTTAATTGAAATTTGTTTAAAACTAAGAAAATTTGAATAGTAAAGTCTTATCTGTTCAAATTGTACCAATATAATTAAGGTTCTTACAACTTTTATTTTTGAAATTTGTCAAGCTAAGCCCTTTTATTCTCCCAGTGTAATGTCTCAATGTTGGCCACTCACTTATTGTCTTCATCGACGGCGCCAACGCTGCGCAGAATGGACTCCTCGGAGGTCCAAATGGTCGACGTGGATCCTTTTTTGGTCACATCCACCAGGTAGCCGGGTGTGGCGGTGGCTGCTGCAGCAGCAGAGGAGGAGTTTGAGGAGTTGGCGGAGCCTTTGGCAGAGGAGGAGCCACTCGACTGGGAGGCGGATGCTGGCGGCGGCGTAATCGCGTTTCTGCTCGTCAGCGCCGCATGAATTATGCCCACCCGTTTTGGCATCGACATTGGCTGCGAGGTTTGGGAGGAGGCCAGCATTGTCTCCACGTCGCCGATGCTCAATTGTCGCTGTCGCCTAGATTTCAAATCCTCGACGGTGGTCGCTGGAGATTCACCTGTTGCCGCTCCATTCGCGGCTGCCATCTCCTCGATTTTCAATGCGCTTTGGAAATTTGTCAGCTTATGAGTTGCCGGTGTCGGCGTTATTGTGTCCGCTTGGCCATTAAGCGGCGAACAGGCCAGGCTCTTGCGTTGGCCCAAAGATGAGGGGGCTGCTCCTCCAGATCCCCCCGATGCCCCCAATCCCCCGCTGAATCCTCCGTTCGGCGCCGACAGGGTGCGCATGTAGGCAACATTCGATTTGGTTGCCGGCGATGCCTCGTTGCGTCCGCAATCAAGGCAAAACGATTGCAATGGAATGGTGGCCTGGAAGGGGCAAGGAACACACTTAGAAAATTGAATTTAAAAAGGATTTTTAAGTCTTAAAACTAGCAATTTGAAAAAGGTTTTAATTATACAAAATATATGTATATACTTGTACAGAACATGAGTTAACCTACAATTAAATAAATGGAAACTGAAGTAATAATAATCTTTAGTCAATATAAATAAATATTTTTCAAAGCATATAAAAAATGCTCATAGAATTTACTTATTATCTTTAGATAGATATTTATTTTATTTAGATTGTAAATAAAAATAAATAAATTTATATAATTTTTAACTAATAAAAAAATTATAAACTATCCAATTAAAATAGTCTGAAACTATAGAATCAAATTTAATCAAGTAGTTAATCCCTTTCTCTGTAAATAACTTCAGAAGTATGGGTAAATAACCAACGTTAAATTCCCCAATTGAAAGTAAACTACTTATGACTTTCTGCAAGTGCAGCAGGAAGAAGAACAAGTTAACTTATTAAAATATAGTCAGTCAGGTTTAATAAAGTAGAGTCGACACTGAGTGCCGCTGACAGTTTCGAGGGCCGCAACCTCAACCTCCGCGGGCAAGGACCTTGAATGCATAATGAGCGTGGTGGACCCAACTGTGGCGGCTGTTGAGGCTGCCCCCAGCCTCCAATAAAAACCAATCCGGAGGCTACCTTGTTGGGGAGCCCAGGCAAAGACAATGCGCAAAAAGGAAACATCAGTGTAATTTTAAGACATTGTCAAGTGGAACGCGCAAGCAGCGCAGGAATTTTCGTTTTTTATGCAAATCTGTGGTTAGTTTTTTCTCTCGGTTTGTTTTTTTTTTCTTCCGAGGAAAGGCATCTCAATGGAGCCGACTTAGCACAGACATTTCCCCTATTGTTTCTGGCCTTATGATTTATAAGCCGCGTGTGATAACAGCCGCTGCATTCTAAGAACTCATGGCCAGCTGCATGAGGTAAATATACGAGTATATGTATATATTCATGGTCATGTTCCATCAGGGGATAAGTGCGTTATGTCAATTCGATTTACAAGCCTTTGGCGAGCGTTTGACAATTTGCTTTTCTCATTTGGCGCAAAAAATCCGGGCTGAGCCGGGCAACAGGCGGAAATTGATTTAAATGATTTATCGGCGTAGCAAAAAATGTGTATTTATGCCCGAAGCAACGGCCTGCAACCGGGAACCGATTTGCTGTTGCTGCTGCAGCAGCAGGTTGCTGTTGTGCTGCGGCGATATTGCTGTTGCAGCAGCGATATTGCTGTTGCTGCTGACGTCGCTGATTCTGTTAGCGTAATTCCTTGGGGGCCTTGGGCGAATCGCCAGCCAGCGAATGGCCAGCGAAATTGCTGGCAGAAAAAAGTGTATCAGCGACTGATTGGAGTTGCCAGTCGAGTTACCGAAAGCAATCACTGCGAAATGGCTTGGCTTTGTACCAAATTATAAACACATGAATATAATACCCAGTATTTAGGCATTTCCAGTTGAGAGATTAAATTTAATGTGAACTACTTAGAGAGTCAGCGGAAATAAGTCATGTGTTAAATGAAGGAAATAAATGGGTGATTATTATTTAGATATAAGAATTGTTGATTTGATATATAAAAACCTGCAAATATTTTAGAGCAATTTTGTAGTTTGTTTATGTAAAAACACACAATTTCATTCCATTCAAATTAATTCAAGTAATGAATGCCACTTCAATTGGACAATTATAATCGCACGCTTTTCAGGCCAACAAAATTTTAGCAAACTAAATATATAATTAATGGGTAAATTCAGAACCCCAAATGGTTTTAGCAACCCAGCTGCGTATATCCCCTAATCGAGCATATATAGTGAATACTTCGGACCAGACGACGCCCGTCTAAAAATGGTCACAGGATGCGGATGAGAGGTCCGCCAGTCGGGGCGGAGTCCTTTGGGAGCATCGGCACACATCTGCTGCTGCTGTTTGCTGTTTGCTGTTTCGAAATGAAATTTGTAATGCATTATGGAGCAGCAACGAGCGCCTGCTACGGCGGCGTCTATGAATTATTAATAAAGACGAGTTGATGGCGATGCCATCTGAGCGAACTGCGTGTTAATGAGCCGCCAACTCTCGCCGGCGACGCATTAATTGGGCGTCCAGATCATCGGCGTTTATGGGCATGGCCGGAATCGAACATATGGCTATTTACAGGCAGGCAGCCGGGCGCCAACTCCGATCAATTTCGACGGCCGGGAGAATAAAAACTTTTACCATTTTACGGCTAGTTATCAACGTTCCGAAGATCATCTATCTTGCCGCGCACACTCGATTAATTTAGCGATTTTATCAGGGCACCCAAAAAAAAAAAGAAGAAAAATTAAAACTCAAATTCTTAATACCCAATCTGTTTTACATATGTAAGCAATTTCCTATGATTTTCCCTCTCTTTCGTTCGCTGGCTTTGTTGTGATTGAAATTGAAGCATTTTATGTTTGGGGGGAAAATTCAAATCAGTTTTATGACCGGCAGTAGAATCCGATATCCGAAACGCTGACAAAGACTTATTTAAATGTCATAAAAATGTGAACATTTCTCACAACACTGCCGAAGAACGATTTGGAAATGGAATGGAAAATAAATGAAATGTTTTCTTCGGTTAGTTAATGAAAAATGCAATAAAATGAACACAAAATGACACATAAAAATTGCCTTTTTCCCCGAGTTGCCCCGGAGGTTATCAAGAATTTCCCGCAGGGGGAAACTATAAATGCTCCTAATTGATCATAAAAACGGGGCGCAAGAAATCCAAAAAAATAAATATACATATAGCGTTTGTTTACTGGCTTCGATATCGGGCACTGAAAATGCTGAATGACAAATGCACTGGACAACGCCTCGCTGCTCCACTTTTATTGATATGTGACCCAGAAAGTCGATTTCATGGGGTCTCCGGCTGTACATAAGTACATAAAGTACCCCTGATCAAGACCGGGCAGACTATCGCAAATCGATTGGACATGCCCCCTCCGAGTGGCACAAGTAAATGGAGGAGCGAGCGAGCTGCCCGCGGTCACGCATGCGCACTGATAATAATTATCAAATCAAAACACTTAAACGCCTGCCCAGCCCATCGTCCTCCTCTGAACATTGTTCCCAGTGCCCAGTTCCCAGTTCCCTGATATAACCCCCTGTTCCTCGCCAGATTTCTGTTGTACGTCGTGTTTGTTTGCCTTGCAGTGATTTGCAAGTTCTACTTAAGTCAAAGTGTCTGCTGCTCGTTGAGCTGCGTGAAAAGCTTTTTGTGTGTCGCGGCCTTTTGTCTGGACAGCCTTGCAAGGGTTTCACTGAGGGAAAATATTATGGAAAATATATATTTTATAAGGTGTTGCTACCTACATAACTCATACATATTTTGCATAACAAAAATCTGTTTTAAATGATAAAGTTAGATTATCATTTACTGACCAATCAGAATCAGAATTTATATTACTAAATTTTATATATTATATTATTTATATTATTATTTATTTATTTATATTATTATATATTATATTAATTATATTACCAGAAAATTCTCATGTAATATTAGTGCAATTAGTATGTTTTTGATCTTGGATACAATTCAATAAAATGTTGTATTTCGTTGATTGTTTTCTCTCAGTGCTGGCCAGCATCTTCTGCATCTTGAACATCTGCCGCATCTGCATGGTTCATCATCATTAAGCGCATTGCGTTGGCCGATGATGCCCCCCTGCCACACGCATGCAACATGCTGCACAAGATTCACTTTCGCAGCGAGAAACAGGGCCCGATCCCCATAAACATTGCAACTAAATTGGGGCGTTTTGGGTTCCGCTCGGTCTGCTGCCGTGTTGACAGGCACCAGCAAAAAAAAAAACCAAAATACAAAATACAAAAAAAAAAAAGGTGAAGTGAAGTGTTCTTCTGGCTTTTCTGATCTTGCTGCAGGGCGGCATGTTGACCCAGTTCACTTAGCTCCTGCGCCTTTCAAGCGAAACCAAAACCGAACCAAACCGAAGCAAACGAAACGAAAAGCTGAAAAACTGTCCCGTGCTTTACTTTCATTGACAGTTTATTTTGTCCAGCCGAAAAAGCGAAGTTTTAGCAGACTTTTGGCAAACCGAGCACGCACTTGTGCCCTCGATACAAAAGGCCGATGGATGCCTTTGATTTATGCTGCCGTCGGTAGCTCATAAATCATGGCCCTCAGTCATTGCCCACTGTCTCACTGACTGATTGACCGAATGAGTGTATCGCTGGGCTGGCCAGTCGACCACATTCTTTTGCCTTAATTAGTGCATTGGGGCTTAAGCGCTTTTAATTGGCACTTTTACCCGAGCGATTAAGGCAAAATATGACAGCTACAGTGACTGGAGTTTTTCTGCCCTGACAGCAGTCGAAAATTCGAAAACTATTTTTCATGCAGATGCCAAAGTAAACAGTTCCGGTCGCAAAAATGTGAAAGAAATTTAAGAAATTACTGCCTTTCCTTTGCATTTATAAAGTTAAAAAGCTTTAAGAAACCTTATAAAACCGGTTGTTCTATTTTATTAAATCAGCAGCTTTAAGTACTTGCATTTTTTGTATACCTTTTCCATTTCTATCACCATTTCTATGAACTTTAGTGTGGCAGGAAACTGTTCGAGGCTAACTTATTTCCTGTTGCCTTCCATTTGGCCAACTAGAACGGGAGAAAAAAAGGAAATGTGCCAGCAGTCTCTACTTTTTGCTAAATGCTAGAGTTGAATTTCGTATCGATTGGTAGCATATATTTCGACTTGTCAACGGCAAACAACAATGGAGCACCAAAACCCAAACCCCAAACGAAATCTCCACCCAAGCTTTTTGTGGGTTTTTTGGGGTTTTTGTTTTCGGTGTGGATGTCGTGTTTTTCCACTAGCATGGCACGCGTTTTGAAAATTAATATTTGTCTTGTTGCAGCAAGTCCGTTGTTGCTGCCTTTCTGAGGTTTTTCCCCCCGTGATGATCGTCGAGTTAACCGAGAGGTGAGCGCAATGTATGCTAAGCATATGTATATATACATAAATGTTTGTATATATGCAACTGGGGAGACCGCAAACCCGGTGCCGTTTATGAGCCGTTTTGGCTTATAAATGTTTTAATTAGATATATTCGGTTTGATAAGCCGGAGACAGCTAACAAGTTGGTTAGTCTGTTTTGGGCCTTATGCTTTATGGGCCTCGACTGCACAAAGTGGGTCAGCGAGTTGGCCAAAAATTGCAGCCACTTTTCTCGAGACAAAAGGCACTCGGAAAAATAGGAGTTAACGCAATACTTTTCATAAATAAATAAACAAAAATATTTAAGTTATTTTATGCTCAGTGGAATTGAAAAGGCAGGAGTTCCTTTTGGGTTATCAAAGAGCTTAAATGTCCGGCATCTCAGTGAACTTTGCTCTTTTTCCTCCACAACCCACTGATTGCAATTAGAGAATCTTTTACGACCCACTGGTCGGCAATCAATCCCCAATTGTCTACCAATCTGGAGCTGCAGAACTGCACTAATTAGTCCATTTTATTACACTTTTTATAGCGCAGCGAAGCCCCGAAAAATGCAACTCCCATTAAACTCGCGCGTCCGTCTATCTCATTTCAAACAGTTCAAAGTTTAACTCGTTCAAGTGCCAGCCACCGAGTGACGACTGTCTATCAACGGACCCATTGCCCTGCCCCCCAATATCATCTTCGCCTTCATCATCCCCATCCCCGCCACTCGGTTGCCCATAAATTTAACGCGCTTCAGTTGCGCATCCGGCGAATGGATGGGATGGATTGGATGGATGGGTAGATGGATGGATGGAACATATGGCACTTCTTGAAAGAACATTCCCTTGCCACCCAAATATTTTCCAGGGAGGAGGTGGGGCCCTTTTTTCGGTGGCAGAACCGTGTGTGTGGGCCCCCAAAAATTCGGTTGGTGCTGGTGCCTCTGTGTGTGTTGACAACATTGTTGTGATTCAGATTAAATGCCTTTGTCTTGAGCGCATTTTATCTAGCCCACATTCATAAATATGCTTCGCTGTTTGTTCGCTCGCATGTCGAAATTGAGCCAGCCAGAGATTACATACGGAATTTAAGTAATTTAAGATTTGAGATTAGGAAATCTCAGCCTGAGCGAAGGTATGCAAATCAGATTTGATTAACCTTGTTTGAACCATTAAAGAACATTTGGGCTGACAACTTTTGAGTTTTAAGCACTTAAGACGTTGAAATAATTTTAAGAAATTTTAATGAACCAATTAGATTTCGTATGCATTTTAAAAACTTTAAATAATGTTAACAGGATTCTAATATAGTTTCATTGGTAACATTAATGTATAATTTTTGAATACTTTAACCTATACTGCTTTATTTCCTATGTATATAATTTCATCCTCTGTACTCACGTGCTTCTCCGGTTTGAGGACCAGTCCGTTCTGCTGCTGCAGTTGATGCTCCATGACGGAGGCGGATCCCTTGCCGTAGCGACTCTGGATGGCGGCGGAGGCGGCGGCGGAGAGGAGGGAAGTGGGCGAACTGTCGGCGGATCCGGAAGCGGATCCTTCGGCTGCCAGGGCTGCCAAGTGCGGCGGCAGCTTATCGCCGGCCATCAGAGTGTCCAGATCACGTAGAAACTTGCAGGCCCAAATGTTTACGTCCTCCTGGTTCTGGCCAAGTGGAGTGCAAGGCAAGGATTTGGGGCCTGCTTTCGTGGGACTAAGGGGCGGTGGGGGAAGTGGCCTAAGTTTAGTTGTCACTGGTTGCCCCAGTGTTGCCGATGTTGCCAATGTTGCCAATGTTGCCGATGTTGAAGCCATGCCCGATGTTGCAGTGGTGCTGCTGCTGTCAAAGCCGCTATCTGATTCCGTGGAACGAGACAATTCATCAAGCTGCTGGACTCCCGACTGCGATAGCTGCTCCTCCAGTTGCTGTTGCAAACGTTGCGCCTTTCGCAGCTCGAAGACCTCGTTGATTTCCCGCTGCAATTAGAATGCCAGTTGTTAGTTGGGTGCACATGGAAAAGCAAAGGGATCTCTTGATAAAATCCTACGTTTTATAAAAATATATCTCTATGAGAGGAGTTAAAATAAAGTCACTCCAAGTTATTCATGCTTAAAAAAATATAAATACAACTCTAATTTATAAGTTAAATTAAAACGTCATTTATATTTTCAACTATATAAATTATTTTTACTATTTCTGATAGCAGATTTTTTTTTATTAAGAAATAGATTTATAATTAATCAACGAAGAGTTTACCCTTTCTATTAAAATATTTAATCCTATTAGTTCTTTGTTTTTTTCCTCAGTATAGAGGACCCATAAATTCCGTCCGGCGGTGGAGATTAGGTTTTGATTAGCGCTCTAATTGCGCACATATATCAAGGCAGTGGTCTATTAATCGCGCCCAGAGCGCCACAACCTCATCCTCATCCTCAGCCGCCGAGAGCCGCTTCTAATGGCCCCCGACTATGATGTATGCCTGCTTAATTTGGCCCGCAAACAGGGACAAACTGGGAAAAGAAAGCCCAGGACACGACCAAGAGCAAGACATGGAGACCCGGAGAGACATGGGCACAATCAAAGACAAATAAATTAGAACACGACCGCAGCGGAGACAGAAAGGTTTTTGCTTTTCCACACTCGGGGATCGCAGCAGAAAACTGCAGCCACGAACTTGCAGCGAAACACGACTCGCATCCAACAACCGGCGAATGCAAATAAATTGAAATGAAGCAATTTGTTAGCCAGATTAAACACAACAACAAAAACAAAAACAAAAAAAGGGGGGAAAAAGACCTTAAACACGGGAAGAGAACCCAGAGAAGATCGGAGACAGATGGAGCCCACAGGGCTAACAAAGTCAGCGAATTACTTAATTAAAAATCGTGGCCCAAGACCCCAGAACTGGTCCTCCTCCTCCTTTCCGAGGAAACCCTTCCTTCCATTCCTTCCTTCTCGAAGAACCCCTTCCCGATTCCCCAGTGACATTAATAACGTGCAGTGCTCATTACTCAGCAATTGTGTTTGTTTGCCGGCCCTTTTTTTCGTTTCCCCCACTTTATTTTCTCCTCTTTTTTTTGTTTTTTTGTGGCTGCTACTTTGGCCAGAAGGGCTGCCCTCAGACAAATGCGATCGAACATTAGCAGGCAATAAATTCTCAGAGGTAGTCTATTGCTGGCGGGGCTTGAAAGAAAGCCGCGAACCCTACGATTTTATCGCCGGGCTTCTCAGAGCTTCTCAGGTAGTGTGAGCAGTTGGCCGGCTAATTTGCGAGGGCGGTTTTGGCAAACAAAAGCCCACTGATTTGCTGATTTCCGAACACAACACCAACTTATGACGTATGAGAGTTTGCTTTCGGGACATCTCAAGTGGGCCGCACATTTCCCAGTTCGTCGCCAGGCAATGCAATTGCTTTTTATTAATTTCATGCTACGACGCGCTGGACAAACAACTGGGTTTGGTTTTGGAATCAAAGAAACACTAAGGGAAAAATGTATATATTTTAACTATATTAAATGCTATATATGTGTAGATCTATAGATCTGTTTTTCTTCAAGAGCTGACAAGCTGTATTTGTATATTAAACAAAATAATTAGAATTTTACAATCAAGGCTTTAAGAGTAATTTACCATTTTCTAAGCAGGTTATTTTACAAAAGGTAACCTTTTAGAACTTATTAAAATTTCTCCAAGTGCCTTCATATGTGACCAAGGGTCTGTCGACCGCGACCAGCAGGCGTATTCCCAAAACTCCGCGGGCCGCTCCATCTTGGCCGCATCTCGACCGCATCTTGACCGCATCTTGGCCACATCTCGAACTATAAAAAGCAGGACCGCTGGCCGGCAACTTTCAGTTTCAGTTCCTCCGCTTTTCCAAGAGCCAAAACGCAACGGATGCCGCTGGCTGGCCGGCTAACTGGTCGGAGACTCTGCGACTCTTCAAAGTGGCCGACGAGGCAGGAGCGAAATAAAAATTGGAACAACCGCGCAACCGACTGCAGTTTCTCAGACGGAGTCGCAGTCTGCGTTTGAATCCAAGTTGGGGCTTGGGGATCCGAAGGAGCCGCAGACAGCATGAGACTCACGTTGGCTTGGCTCTGTGTCTGCCTGGCGATTTATTGCGGCGGTGGCCATGGCCATGGCAATGTGGTACTATCTTTGCCACCATCGCTTATCGCCACGGCCACGAAGGCGGCCTTGAGCCACCACCACCACCAAAAGCAACAACAACAGCAACAGAAAAAGGATGCACGCGTCCTGTTTGACAGCCCCACAGATGCACTGCGCGATATGCTGCACGGCGGCCAAGTGAATTCAGGAAAATTCAGCAGTATGCCCGATGTGGATGTGGAGCAAGTTGCACCGCCGACGATGTCTGAGGATTTTAATCGAAACGCAGATGATTTAGGGGCCCGGCAATCAGCGCCGCAGGAAATTGCCATGGCAATGGGACTCGGAATGGGAGTGGGAATGGGGGGCCCTGGATTGGGACCCAACTACCACCAGGCCACGCCCCCTCACCGCTATTGGGGCAATCGATGCCAGGGACAAGCTGGTGGATCGGCCAAGTGTCCGCAGGAGTACTACCGCACCATGTTGGCGGCCAGGTAAGGAGTAAGCAGCTCCCCAGGATGTGGGTGGCAAAGTGCCAAAGGGAAAAGCGGGGATCTGGGGAGCAGGTTCAAGGCTGCACAGAAGGAAAGTCGAGAAAGTTGCGCTCCTCGTTTCCGGCTCACATGTAAAGCAATTTGGCAGTTTAAGCTCGGGGATTAACACCCTAAATTTCAGTTGAGGGAAATCAATATTCAAGAAAAGTAGGAGCTTAAAAGGGGTTCAATAGGTAAATATTTAATATAGATTTTTATCAGAGGGAAATAAGCATTTTTTATTATAATATTATTGTATGGCTCAAAGAGTTTAAATTCCTTTCTGTAGAATATCTTTAAAAGGCATCAATACTTTAAAAATATTGAATTATCAAGCTTCGATGAAAAACCTTTTCAAACTGATTTGAATATTTGCTACCTCTTCAATACTAAAGTTTAGTTTCCATTCAAATATTTTGAATGAACCAAACCTTTGGTTTTCAAGGGGTTAATGCTAACCCTTTTCAGGGCGCCAGGCTCTGCCAAAAAAACAAAAAGGAATGTATGTATATATGGTTAACCCACAAGACGGGCAACAAATCGTCGACAATTTGGCTGTCGACTGGGAACACGCAAAACCAATTAATGGGCGTGAAAAAATCAGTACCAGCGATTGCAGTTTTGTTTCAAGTCGAAGCCAGGAGACCGCCGCACAGCACCGTATGTTGATTTATTTTATAAAATAACAACTGTCAGCAAATTCATTGCCCCGAAACGAAATCGAAACGAAAACTGCATTACGAGTTTCACTTTTCATTTCGGCGAGTGAGAAATATTTTTCTCGCTCAGCTTTTGTTTTATTTAAAACAATTTATTTCTTTCCCTTTTCAATTTTTTTTTTTTTTTTTTGCGCAGCGGCCTGTAATTTGCGCGGAATATTATCTTGTGTTGAAAAATTATTGGGCGCTGCTATTAAAATCGAATTAATCATCGCGGAGTGGAACTTTATCATTATGGTTTTCTGTTCGGTTATGTTTGCCTTTGTTGATTTGTTAAATGTTTGATTAATTGGCCACGGGCCCGCATAACTTTCGATTATTCTGCTGTTCGCCTAATTTGTAATTTTACACAGTAATTTCTGTGGAATTGCCACAAATTGACTTTTGATTGAATTGGATCAGCTGTGGCAGCCTCGGATAAGCGAAGAGTTTGGGCTTTTCTGGGTCACATGTGTTTTGAGTGGGAAAAAGAAGTTCATCAATTTGGTGTCGTCTGTTATTTTTCAAAAAAAAACAAAAAACAAAAAGAGAAACTTCGGCCAAGAAGTGTAATTGAAACTCATGGCCACAACCCACGCTTCCCAAAACCAAAGAAACAGAAAAAATTAAGAAAAATGTGAAAATGTGCTGCTCCTTAAAGTGAACAAATGATGGGGCATTAATCAGACTATAGAAACGAAGCCGTGACCCTTTATTCCCCTCATCAGGAACAAAGACGCCCTGTCCCGCCTCCACTTGCAGCTCAGTTCGATGCAGGACTCCGACTCCGAGGTCAGCTCCTCCGATTCCGAGGAGGAGGTCGACGACAACGACGAGCAGAACAACAACGAGGTCTTCATGCTGCTCACCGGCGAACAGGATCTCATCAAGTTCCTTCACTGGGCCATGCAGCTCCTGTATCCCATTCAGCGTCCTTTTGCCAACTTGAGTGAGGGAGCCGCCGAGAATTACTACCCGGGAATGTTTCTCTGGAAGAAGCTCAACCTGTCCGGTCACCTGGAACCCCCGCTAATTGTGGATGAACCCCAGTATGTTCTCGTGAGGAGGGAGAAGCTCTTCGATGGATATAAGTTGGGCGGTGAGTTGGTTAAGAGTTCAATGAGAGAACATTTATCTTAAAAACTTGTTATACCTTTGAGCTGCATTTCTCGAAATAAAAATACAAATCAGTTTATATATTTATTCCTAATATTGTTACCATGTTTTATAATACTCTTCTCTTTTCCAGAAGAGAGCAAGGAGAACGACCCTTTTATACCGCCTCGAGGTCGCAAGCACAACTCCCCGGATTTAGACGCTCTGATGAACCGGTACGAACCTTTTGTACCGAATCGAGGCAAACGCGACAAGGTCAAGGATCTGTTCAAGTATGACGACCTGTTCTATCCGCACCGCGGCAAGAAGCACCGCAACCTCTTCCAGGTGGACGATCCCTTCTTTGCCACACGAGGCAAGAAGCTGCAGCTCCGGGATCTCTACAAAGCCGACGATCCATTCGTTCCGAATCGCGGCAAGCGGCACTTGTCAGCTGGGAAAGTCGGAGAGCGGGAGGAAAGGCGCGAGGTGGGAGGGGGATCGGGAAAATGGATGCCAGATGACAGCGACAACAACTGGCCGCAAAGAATGTCAACGCATAAAATTAATGGTTACGATCAATCAGTCAGGCCATCACTGTCACTGGAGGAGGCTGCTGGGTTGGCAGCAGCATCTTCTTCGTGGCGACTGCCCGCTAATAGATTGCACTCGACAAGATCAATGTCAGCCGATCAGCAAAAGCAGCAGCAACAACAGCAATTGCCTGGCATCCGCTTCATTGGCAGTCCGAACATGCGCCAGCAGCAGCAGGTGAAACCATTATCCTGGCTGGGGGAGGAACGCCTGCGGAGATCCATCCTGCCGCAGGAGAAGAAAATACCCAACGATGCCCACGAGACACAATTAACGCAATCGCAATTGCAATCGCAATCGCACCCGGCTAATCCCCATTTGGACACTGATTCCGACAACTTGAACATTTAAATGCGGCGAGCGATTTTCGGTTTTCGGTCTTGGTTTCGGTCTTTTCCGATTTTCAGTTAAAGGTTTTCAGTTTTCGGCTTGGGGCACCGTTTTCCTCGACTCATGTAGACAGAACTATATGGCACACAATAAAGTACAGCATGCAATTGATTTTGAGAGAAATCGAATCGAATCGAAACGAAACGAAACGTGGAGAATTGAAGGTTACTCTGCTCTGTTACGTTGCCCTTGGCGACGCCTTTTAAGAACTCCACTGGGAGAAAATGTATATAAAAATTAAGCAGATCTAAAGAACACAGAGATAAGAGAATATCCATTAATTTATGATTTAGAACCAATTGGTTTGCAATCATCGGAATATTTAGAAGCATTATTCTTTGTTGTAATAAAAAGATTGCAACATTGTATGCTGAATTTAATGACAGGCTTGCTGTTTAGTTACAAATCTTTAGGCCCTAATAATTGACATCTTTGAGATATAGTATTGAGATATAGATTTTTCCCCGTGTGCTCTGCGAAGGTCTCGCCTCGTTGCCCTTGGCGCTGTTGTTGCAGTGCGAGGAGTATTGCCTATTTTAATTGTATTCATTGGTTAATTTATCGCTAAATGCAATCAGCATTGTGCCGGGCAGCGAGTCTAGACTCCGATGGAGCCGCAGCAACCCAGCTGCAGACAGGAGGGCGTGGCATGGAGTTGATGCCACAGCGGCGATATGCAGGCAGATATTTTCAGAACAACGGCAAAGCAGCAATTCAAGCTTAGCAACTCGAAAACCCTCAGAAAACAGCTGCTGTTCGCTGTTCGAATGCAAAGGTCAGACTTCTCTGAAGACTGAAGGGCCATGTAATCCCCGAAACTCACATCAATCACGCGAGTTTAGCTTATTAGCCAAGCACACTGAACCCTTTGAGAAGAAAAAAGCTGGGAGAAACAGCGATTTTTTAAGCCACTGGGAACTGAAATTTTCCACTTCAACCGATTTCTGACATTGACATTGACCACATCGACATCAACGTCAAAATATTTGGTAAGCCAGCGGAGCAGCTCGCTTTGTTTTTGAACAAATGACCATTGAAGGTCATAGCCAGATCCAAAAGCGGCCAACAACAAATTGGTTAAATAATACCCATATGCTCCACCATCTCCATCTGGTTTTGGCCTGTTTTTTACTCGTTTTTGGTTTTGGTTTTGGTTTTCTGGTAGCCTGACGTCCGAGCGATCGGTCCAAAATCCCCTGAAGATCATTACAATTTCAATGGCACTTCATATGGAGTGTGTATATGCATATATATGTACCTATGTTTGGCTAGAAGAATGCAGGCAGCAGAGCCCATAAGTACTAACCATTTTCTTTCCGTTCAACTCGGTTTGCTGGGCAATGACACTTGAAGTGGTCAATCGCCGGTCGGCTCACGTGCAGCTTTTTGAGGCAGAGGTTTTGTTTGGGCCACAACACGTCCATCGGAGGGCAGCCTTTGAGTTAGGTAAGCTTAGTGCTAAACAGCTGTGACAGCTTCAGAAGAAATCCCACAGAAGCACTCCCATACCGTTCTTACATAACTCAAAACAAAAGTGTTTAAAACTACATTTGTAACGAAGTCTTATAGGTAAACAATAATGTGTAGGTAGTTAAAACGTCAAAAGAAGCTTAGTTGTTTTGTAAATTTAACATATCAAGGTAAATTAAAAAAAAAAAAATTTGAAGTTGTAATATTATGTCATTTGTAATCTTTAATTCAATTTGTTTTTGAACGTAATAAGGTGCTTTATATTTTTAAGAATACTAATTCGGATTCGAATTGTTTAAAACCCAGAAAAAACTGGTCGTTGAACCTCGCAAATCCAATCATCTAGATGTGTAAGCAGTCGGGATTGAACAAATTAAATTCCAATGGCTGTTGAAAACTGAAAAGCCCGGTCAGCAGGCTACTTTGCGTCACTTTTGGCAAGCGGCTAGAGGAAAAGAAAGTCCGGGCTCAGAAGAGCACTCACACAAAATGCGATTCCCAGTTGTGAGCTTCGATTCGGCATCGGCAGCAAATTGGCTCAATTTCTTTTGGCCAAGGCCTTTTGCTTTTGCATTTGCAGGCTGTTGCTGATTTGCTTGTCGGAAAATATCAACGCATTGTCAGCGAGTCGAACTTGACAACTGGCAACATGCAACGCTGCAACGCTGCAACACTGCCATAATGCAACTCTGCAACATTGCAACGGTGCAACATTGTGACTCTGCCACTGCAATTGTAACGCGATCAGCATGAGTAGCTGGCAGCCTGTGACAGCGGCTTAATTGCTGTCTGCAATTATGATTGCTGCCGGTGTAGAGAAATTGTAGAAGTCCCCGCCTCACTTTCCTTTCGCAGCTCCAACTTCTCAGCTTCTCCCACTGGTTTTTAGTGTTTTTTTTTTGTTGTAGCCCCTCCGATTTCTGACTCCATTTGGCATCATCGGCGGCCTGTGGGATTTTCATTGTTTTTGCGAGATCAACTCCCGGTTGACAAAAATAGTAACGTGCAGGCTGGCTGGCAGGCAGGCGCTGCCTTTTATTGCCATTTGTTTTTGGCCCGTTCGCCGTTTGACGTTGACAAAAAAACGTCATTTGCAAATTGGGCAAAGACAACTTTCTCTAGGCAGCTGCATTTGCGCCGTCGCATTTGCAGTCGCATTCGCATTCGCATTCGCCAAGTGACAGAGCCATTGCATAAAGCCATATAGATAAAGCAAAAGGCAAGTCGTCGCCCACATTCATTAACAGCATTCGCATAATTGGCTGAAGCAGATACGTTTTTTTCTCGATTTTTTTTCTTTCTGGGTTCATCGAACGAACCACCAACGAATCAGCCAGCCATCCAGGCTAGAAAAAAAAAAAAAACTAAAAAACTTAAGCCAAAAAACAATCCCTGGGCGCAGCAGCCTTACGTCTCAATTTCCCATCGCCACTTTGTCAATATCTATAATTAAAATCGTTTGAGAACACACGCAAGCGGTATGCCCGATTTATCAGATTTTCGAATGGCAGAAAGGCAATATTTATACACGTTGTCATGCTGAAAGCTTGATTGATGCATTAAGCTTACTTAGCCATAGTCGATGTTGACGAGCGCCAATTAATGGCTGCTTAAACGGGAAAACTCTGCCGCTGCGAGCCAGTCAGTCAGCCAGCCATTCAGCCAACCATTCAGCCAGCCAGCTTGTCCATGTAAAATTATGGAAAATCTGTGCAAAATCCAGCGCTAATTGATGCAGGAAGCGCGACGGAAAAACGAGTTGCCATCGCCTGTCATGGATTCGCTTCGTTTCGTTTCGGTGCGTCTTAAATGGGTCAGGCGGTGATTACCGCCTCCACTAACGCATTTCATAACTACACTAAGAAAATAGAAGCTTCATTAATAGAGAAATAAAAGCAACAGTAAGCTGCCTTGATATAATAAAGATTGTGGAACTTTGAACGAAGTTTATTTTGTCTAAAGAAACAACTTGAAAAACAATTGTTATTCAGTTGAACAAAAGGGGAAGGTTTATAATTAATTGGAAATTATTAAATTAATATAAATATTTGGAAACTAAAATAGTTCTTCTACTAACTTTTCATATATAATTTAAAAAAGACGTATCAATAGGTATTACTACAATTATTTAAATTCTTCCATCGTTCTAATCATTTTATTGTTTATATTGTTTAACCACTTTTAGGTCTCACTTCCATTTTATGACTTCTATCTTTTTGGCTCAGTGCATTCAAATTAAGCCTAAGGCCACGCCAACAACAAGCGTCTTAGCAGTCTTAGCGTGTAACGGCAATTTCCAGCCAAAACGCTGCACTATTTGTCATAATAAATGCGCACAAAGGAGACGTAGCCGCAAAAGAAAGCTTTTCGGTTTGCGTGGGTAGCGCTGTGACACATTTTGTCATCATTAGGCACAGTTGCCGGCTAATAATTTCAATTTAGCCAAAAAATTAGTTGCATTTGGTGGTGGCGAAAGGGGGGAAAATGTGTAAAAAGGCGTTAATAACCGCGATGTAAGGCCATAAGCTGACAGCCCACGCCAGGCCGAGAAAAACTAAGCCAAACTAGGTTTTACTTTAGTCCGAATGACTGCCCCAAAAAGGGGCGATGGGGGCGTGGCCGGGCACTCGATGGGTGTTGAGGTGATGACACTGATTATAAAATGCAGCATATGGTGCATTTGGTGCATGGCGTGCAGCATTTGCTGTCATAAAGCCATCCCAGTTGATCAGCTGCGATAAAAGCCGACTTGCTCTGATTTCGCGCGGTAAAAAACGCAGTTAAATCGCCGGCGTTTTGTGCGCGATTTGTGGGTGCTTCATTTTGGCAGAAATGGCGTAAAAGCACTTTAGTCATGCAGTTTATTTTATCTTGAGCTCGGACTCTGGCTCTGGAGAAATTTTATTTGCCTTGCATTTATAGTGTGGTTATCTTGAGAACCTTAATGGCGAAAGTAAATGTCTAATAAAAAACTGGGAACGCCTTGCTCTAAATTTTGCGCTTTTGAAAATGCCATTTGAAGCGATTTGTAAGAGCATCTCTTGATAAAGATATAAAAAAGCTAAGCTATGGGAGATGATTAAGAGCTAACAAAGTAGAATTAACCCAGATTTGAAACGTGTATCTTGTAATGTCCAGTAATGTCTAATCATAACTATCAAACCAATAAATATAATAGGTTATAAGAAGTCTGAATTGTTTAACGCACTCCATTTCTCCTGGGTAATTTCCTTTAGCTTTTAGTTTGCAATATAGGGAATCCAATAAAAATAATCCAGTTTTGTATGCGCCACGCGCACTTTTTTCAGACCACTGACCACAAGAACGCCATAAACGCAACGCTCACAAAAAGCGCGTGCGTGCGTTTATGCTTCCGCCATGAGCGGCAAATAAACATTACAATAACAACAAAATCTGGCAGCTATGAGGAAAATTCATGCGAAACAGTTATAAAAAAGACAAAACCGTAGAGAAAAAGGCGAGGAAATCAGAAATAAGAAAAAAACAAGAAGGAAAACTAAAGCCTCGGCCGTTGACGTTGCCGTCATCGTTGATGTGTATGTGTAATATTGCGCTTTCCGGTACAGAAACATAAAATTTTATGTACACGACCGCTGACGACAGGCCAAACGACAGCCAAAGCGGCAGCAGAAAGTCGGGCGTGCAACGCGGCGTATGCGTTACATATTACGGCTCTGTGTGAGTTTGCCTTAACACATTTTTCTGTCACGCAAAATAATCATTTGCAAAATCACGCCGCGTTGACAGCAGAAGAGGGGTTGGGTGGAGCAGGGTGAGGGGAAGCGGTGCTGAATGAAAGACTGGCCCACTAGGCCGGGTCCCAGGCAATTGTGTGATTACACAGAGAAAAATTATAAGAAAACAACTACAGATGGAGATTAGACTAAACAAAAACCCCAAGGAATAGTATTTTCCTAAAAACAAAATTCTTATAAGGTTAAAAATATAGCTACACTTTTTCAAGCCAAAATATATCAAATATCATTCATGAATTTTTCTATAATTTTCTTTAGTTTTAAACTTATTTTTCTGTGCATTTTTGTGTGCGTTTTACTTGACGAGGACAGAAGTTGTCGGTTATTATCATGTGAAAAAGCCTGAAATTGAATAATGTCATTCACCAGACGAGGACAAGTGGATCCAAGAGGTTCCCCGTCCCACCAACCTTCCTTTGAGTGCTAGACTCAAAGTATATTCCCCATTTAATGCGCAACTTGCAAACGGAAAAGCTCTGTATTTCCCAACCAGCTGGCAAACACTCACCTTGACACGCTCCAAATATTCCTGCAGCGCTCCGTACGGATCCTCGCCGTCGACGTCCAACAGATCGAGGCTGTGGGCCAAGTCCAGATTGTCCAGAGCGGCCAATTCGGACTCGGCCTTATCGACAAATTGCAGCTTATGATGATGATGCCCCTGAACGGGCGCCGTCTGGTTTAAGAAGTTCTTATCAGCTGTCATGGTGTTGCCGCCTGGCGTTGCAGTTGCTCCCGATGTTGCTCCCGATGTTGCCGATGTTGCAGATGTTGCCGCTGCTGTTGCGCCGGCAACAATGCTTCCGTATTGGCGAGTCCGCGGCATGGTTGCACAACCGGTGCTGAAAACGCTCGGAGCGGCAGCAACGGCAACAGGAACAGGAGATGTGGTGGCAGATGAAGTTGGCCGACCATCAACGTCTCCGCTGGCCGGCACATCACTTAATCCCGATTTGTAGCGCGTCGTGTCAGCGGCGATTGCTGACGTGCAGCCCGATGTTGCCGCTGTTCGCGATGTTGCCGCTGTGGATGTTGCCCCTGCAACACCGCCTGTTGCTGCCGGCACACTCGCCTGCCCGTTGATAAGCGTTTGATGTTGTTGCTGCTGCTGATGTTGCTGCTGCTGCTGTTTGTTGCTAATTGCACTTTTCACATCGCCTGTCATGTTGTTTTGATTTGTATTGCTATTGCTATTGCACTGCACTTTACTTAACTTCTTGACTTTGTCATGATGCCGCGTCGCCTGCTGCTGCTGTTGATCTGTAAGTTAATAAAAAAAGAGAATTAAAAATTATAAGCTTGGCTAATCCCGGCAATATTTCTGCACATAAAGCTGTCATTTGTGCGGCCGCCGCACCCCGAACAATTTCCCAATGAAAACGAAAATGGAAAATGGAAAAACCTCCAGACACATGTGGCTTTTCGAGCGGAGTGCGCGAAAATTTCTGCGCTAATCGCCTCGAATTGTCCACCAAATGTGTGCCATTTAAATTGTCATAAATTTTGCAATATGCCTCGCACATGTGTGGACTTAACTCCTTTTTATTTGGCATGTGTGTGCCAGCGCGAATGTTTTAATTAATTTCGTACGGGCGCAAAAAATTGCCGGCAATTATTTACATACACGAATTTATTGCTCACACCACACTTAACCATTTCCCGAGTGCTTGGCATTATTTATCTTCGGTGGGGTTCTATTATGGAGCTGGGAGAGTCACGCCTTTAAATTTATGTCGCTGCTGAAGTTAAAAATGGGTCATCGCAATCAGCATTTTATGTGCGTAACCATGACTAATCTTGGGTTTATTTATTTTATGTTAGTGTAGTTGATTAACGAACATTATATGAAAGTATCCTATAAACTTCGAGTGGGATAATCATCTACCCAAAATCAGTTCTCAGTTTTCTAAGCTCCCTAACCCACATAAACACTAATAAATTCCCAGTAAATCGAATTGAAATTCGCATAGGGGCTAAGGTTATGTGAACTTTTGTCAAAACGGAAGAACCCCGCCAACCGGCCGGCATTTTTGTCTATATCTATTTGTGTATATAAACGTTATTCCTTTATTATTTTTTTTTGGTTTGCTGGTGGGTAAGTGAAACGGTTAAAGAGCGCTCGTGGTTGTTGCTGTGTTGATTTTATGGCTTTGATTTGATTTTTGTTTTTATTGCGCATGCGTGCGTTCGATTGAGTTTTTTGATTAAAATGTCGCCGCCACCGTCGCGACTTGCGACTTGGCGACAGCCTTACAGCAATCCAGCAATACGAAAAGGCCAGCAGTGAGGGGTCTTTCGATCGCGGAGTCCATGGACTTCTGCTGGTCAGAGAGCTTGGCATTTAAAAATTCTGAATCGCATGCGTTACACAACGGCCCGTGGCGAGCTCGTAAATCAGCGGCTGCAAACGAGAGTCAGTCAGACAGCGGGGACAGTTGGACAGTTGGCCACATTTTATGGGGGTCTCTCTGCCAATTGATCGTTTTGGGCCGATTGGCAGGCCGCCAGTTCAGGCCGGAGTCAACTGAAAACCAGGCCCACACTCGGCTGCACTTTTCTTCTCCTTAAATATATATACACTCGTATATATACAGTATTTTTTGTATTTCTGCATTTAAATTGTGCAATGCTAACGGTATTCCTGGCCCATAAGGACGGGACTTTACCGCCGTGTGGGTGACGCGTTGCGAGTTCATGGGAGGTCTTCCCCCAATTTCAATTGCGATTTACCCAAAGATATCGCTTTTTTGCCAGACATGTAGCCCAAAAATATATTTATAAGGTACATACATTTATTTGAGGTATATAAATATTTAAACATGTGTCATGTTTTCTTTGAAATTCTTTTATAGCTTTCGTTTGAGCTTCTAATTAGCAGGTTAAAAAGCGGATACCGGTCAGAAATGAAATTCGCATCCATTGTTCTATTTGATGATTGGCCATAAATTCTTTTTTGGGAACTCGTACTCGTTCGCTTTTTGTGGCTCTGCAAACACGAACAAAGTGCGCGAAAACAAAACATTTGTACGCATTTAGCTTATTTGCTTATTTACTTGAAATAAAATTGTTTGCTGGGTGTGTCCGCTAAATGGCCACCGTCCATTCATTGATGGGCGTGTGTGTTCGGTTTTTATATATTTTTTTTCCATTTTGCGGCTGCTGATTGATTCGCTGGCTGAGGTCACTTCGACGTGATTAATTGCCGATTGCCAAACGAGGAGGGGCGAAACGCTGGCGGAGGTGTCACTCTGTGCCGAATTGAAAACAATGCAAAAGTACAAGCAAAACGCTTGCAAAACACACTTGTGGAAACGCTGCACTGGCAAATATTTGCCTGCAGTGGATGCAGTTGTTTTTCTCCGCTCTTTGCTAAAGGAAGGGACCTACCTCAATGCATTTCATATGGACTGGCCGAGTGGCGCAAGAAACGAGTAAGTAAATAAAATGGAATGAGCTCAGCAGAAGCTGTCAGCCCGGCAAAAATGCACCAGCGAGCACTCGGACACTTGGACACGCGATTAGCGGGCGATGAGCAAGAAGCGGTCTCAGATGCGAAAGACTTTGTATCTGACTCCGACTCCAACTCCGACTCCAACTGCATTTCCAACTCCGACTCCATCTCCAGCTGACGTGTGTCGGGTTGGGACAACGTCTTCGTCATGCCGATCAGCACAGATCAGAGGCGCCCTAAGACGCCGCCGGTCTGGGGATTATTCTCTGCTTCCATATTGATACCCTTTCCAAAAGGAGAGTCTTGGCATCATTAGAAAAGCGGGGAATAAAACATATAGATTCATATGATTGTATATCTAAATTCTCATTAATTTTTCTTGATTTTTATATATTTATGAAATGTTTATAAAAGTATTTTTCTGATTTATATTTATTCAGATTTTATTATCTTATCATCTCATCTTCTAACTCCTCAACCTTTTGTTTTACCATTTAATAGAGTTCTGTCTTTGGAATATAATGTAAAGCGTATATCCTTGTCGGTTATTTTCTCTCAACTAATCTAAGGGCAGGGCTTGGAGTTGGGAGCCTGGGGCCTGGGTCTCTGGGAACGACTGGTTCGGGCGGCTTTCAAGCCTCATTTGCCTATCAAAATGATATAATACGCACTCATGACGTCGATTGCCGTATGTACGTGTTTCCTGTTGCGCCTTTGTCGCTGTCGTTGCAGTTTCTTTTTTATATATTTTTTATTTATACTTTTTTTTTTTTGGAGTTTGTGTGCAAAACTGCAGTTGATGGGGCGTGGCTCGGAATCAAATGGAGTTCACTTTACGGCTGGTGACAAAGCTGACCGGGGAGTGTTTTTCTTTCGGCGTTTTTTTTGGGCCGCCTGCAAGTGCGTTTTTTCAGCTGCACCCAACTCCGCGATCGTCCGAGTTTTATGACTTTCCCAATTGCCGGTCCTATGCAGACGCATTTATAATAAAATTTTTTACTTTATTATTACCCATAATGGCGGTAGACAGTTTCTGGGGAGGTTTTTTAAATGAAGCCTTAAGTGCCTTTTTATTAAACATTGCGGCATTTAATTGATTTGTAATAGATTCGAGTCTTTGTATTAAATGCCAAAGGTGTGTGCCGATGTGAGTGTGCCATGTTAACGGAAATCCAAGACTCTGCGTCATGCATAATTCATGTAACTTTTCAGTCGGAACAATATAAAGAAAAAGTAACAAAAAAAAGTTATGCACACGCCCTAATCAGCCGACTGTGGTTTCTATAATTTTTCCCTACATGTCAATACTTATATATTTCGTTGTTTATTTATCGGATATTTTAACAATGCCTTTAATTGCATTTAATTGGTTTCACTGAATTTATAAGTAATTGGCGGGCAAAAATGAATCAGATGCTTGGGATTTATTCTCTGAAGTGTAATTCAATTTTCTGGTAATTATGTCTTATCGCCGGCATATCGAATAACACGTATGTGTTGAAGGTATTTAAAAAACAGGAAATGATGGGGAGATCTGACTTGGTTCTCGATTCCCGTTGACGATTCCAGAAGGAATCAATGGAGCAATAAATATACTTAAATAAATTCTTAATGTCTGCTGTAGAAATATGCTGCCATGGAGAACCCTTTCTCGCATCAATTAATAACAATAACTGCGGCTATTAACTAGACTAATGAGTGTGAGCCTAGCCCGTTGCGATATTTCCCACAATGTGTGTAGATGCAACATTTCCGCCCCGGCGACAATGCGACTTAGTTGGCAAAGCTGATTAAGCTAAAGAGTTGGGGAAACTTACCACTTCCTGCCGCAAAGGCGGCGATGCGCTCCCTAACCGAACGTCTGGGTTCGTCATGAGCTGCAATGTTGCTGTTGTTGCAGTTGCTGTTGTAGCTGTTGTTGTTGCTGCTGCCGTTGCAGCTGTTCGGCACATGTGTTGCTGTTGTTGCCGTTGAGTCATGGCTAGGACTTCGCTTCACCATTGTTGTTTTGATCACAGTCTTAAGGCGGGTGGGCGTGGCCGGACGAGCTGCAATGCGGGGCTTAGGTGTTTCTTGTGTTGCTGTTGCAATTGCTGTTGCTGTTGCTGTGGCTGGTGTTGCCGCTGTCAATGTTGCTTTATCGCTGCACAGCACTTCTGTGGCAGCACCCACAAACTCTTCTGATGTTGCTGCTCCCGCTGCTTTTGTTGTTGCTGCTATTGTTGTTGTTGCTGCTGCTGGCAACCCACACTCACTAGTTGCTGTTGCCGCCGTTGCCGTTTCTGTTGCTGTTGCTGTCGTAATTGTCATTTTATTCTGCGACGACTTCGGTGAATCAATTTTCGAGTCGCTATTGCTATTGCTATTTATATTTGTATTGGTATTGGTATTGGTATTGCTATTCGTTTGGGGCTCGGCGGTGTCGGGTAATTTACAATAATTACAGTGCGGCTTGTTGTTGTTGTCGTAGCTTAGTGTATTTTCCTTATTGCTATGTTGTTGCTGTTGCTGTAGTTGCAATTGTTGGTGTTGCTGTTGCTGTTGCAAGCTATTGCTTAGTCTTTGGGTTGGTTGTCGTTGCTGTTGCAGTTGCTGTTGTTGCTGTTGCTGCTGCTGGTGTTGCTGTTGCTCATTGCCACTTTGCGGGCTCTTTGTGACAGCGCAAGTTTTAGTTGCTGCTGCAACTGCTAGTTTGTTGCTGTTGCTGTTGTTGCTGTTGCTGCTGCTGTTGCCTTTGTTGTCCTGCCGCCATTGTTCGGCCAGATTTCGTTGATTCATTAATATCAGCGCCACATTTCCGTCGTCTCTTGGAGCAGCGGCGATATCATTGGCCTCATCATCAGCTTTATCGCCGCCACATTCGGAGTCGTAGTTGCAATCGTCGTAATCGCTGTGGCAATCTCGACGTCGCCGCGGCACATCATCAATATAGCTGAAATCGCTATCGACGAATATATTTCTGGCATGCAGCGTGTTCACCGATGACTTGTTGTTGTTGTTGTTGCTTTTCTTGTGCTTGAGATTGTAGCGCCTCCGCTGGGGGCAGCAGCAGAACTTCACGATGGATCGATGGAGTGCTGGCGGCGATGTTGGCGATAATGTCGGCCGATTCGGCGTCGCCGGCGTTGCAATGTCAGCCCATTTCTCGATCAATGCCAGCTCGCGAGCATTGGACATTGTCGTATAGCCATGCAGGGTGATTCTGAAAGGGAAATCAATCGATTAATTTAACTGACAAATACAGAAAAGTATTAATAATAATGAGTATTATACAAAGACTGTCCAATAATCGACTTTTACTGTTTATATTTTTAGAATAATCAGAAATGCAGTAATATGTTCTTGTAAACAAATGAAGACAGATAATATCTTTTGAAAGCCTCGAATAAATAAACAATTCCCTTTTGTAGTCGGTCAGTAAATATATTCTTCCGGGAAATTTCTGCAACTTAGTGACACACCTGCCTTAAATACAAACAATAAACGCATCGATTCTGCAAGTGAATCGGAAAGGAAACCATAAATTAATTACACACAAAAGCGAAAATCAATTAACCACATTTCTCAACGCGTCTCAGCTTTTCACCAAAACGTTTCCTCATTCCAGCCGCGGAATGGAGTGGATTGGAGCTCCGTTGAAAGCCAATTCGCTGCGCACATCACATCGCCAACTCTTGGCCAGCGACGCCATCTGTGCGTCATGGCAGCCACATCCACATCCCCATCCATATCCACATCCCCAGCCAAAAGCCAAAGCCAAAGCCAGAGCCACAACGTGTTTTAATTGCCAGCCGCCTTTTGCGCAACACTTTCCACGGGCACCACTTCTAAGTGACCGCCAAAATGTTGAGCTGCTGTTTTGCCGGCAGAAAGCCGGCTGTCGATGCATGATTAACTGCCCGTGCCCGTGCCCGTGCAACTTGCAACTTGCAACCTGCAAACTGAAAACAGCAAACTGAAAACTGAAAAGTGCAACCTGCAACCTGTAAGCCGCGAAACTGCATTTAATTGCATTCGGATTTTTGGCCGCAGGGCAGCTCGACAGCAGGTAGCCGAAATCTTACAGATCTTGCAGATCTTACTGATTCCAGGGTTGCCAAGTGCCGTTTGCCGCCCACCGAAGTGCAGTTGGGCACTCTCTGATTAATTTGTTGCAACGTGCACAAGGAAAAATAGAGAGGTATGGTATTAGATAAATTTTCCTAAAACAAACTAAAAACTTAAAACGCTTTCAAGTGCAACAAGAATCCAAAATTAACCTTCTATTTAAATGTAATATTTTTCGTTTCAAATCTTACTTTAACAATAATTTTTTTTTAGATTGTTAGTTTATTTTTGGGTTTCTAGAATCTAGTCTATTTTTTGTGTAGTATTCTTTGTAATATTTTCTTCCCGTGAGCCTGCGGAAAAAGGCATTTGCATATGGGCTGGTTGCGAACTCGACTAACTGCTACCTTATTGGCCAGCGGGCTTGACCTTTTGCGCTGGCCCCGGCTAAAAGCTTTTCGCCGTGAAAGTTTGCCTCGGAAATTCCTTTCCTTTCACCACATAGCCGCAAAAGCGTTGCGCCTTTGAAAAGGGGGCGTGGCTATGCCTGTCAAACGTTTGACAAATTAATTTCAATTGTTTAATGCACACACACGCCGCTTATCTTTCACTTTATCTATTGTTGCGCCAGAGTGAAAATAAATTAACAATAAATAATTTTAATTATTTCATGAAGATGTCAAATTACACACGCCCTCGCCAAAAAGCCAGGCTCTCCACTGGTTATTTGTTGTATATATTTTTTATTTTTAGGCTGGGACCGCGACTCTGGCTTGATCTTTGCCACTTACGAACGGCTTTTGTGGCACAGGCTTGTGGCACAGCTGCGCGCTCTTTGTATTTATGATTATTTTCCATTTTATTTTATTTATTAAATTTGTGTGTTTGCCAAAGCCCCAAGCCGCGGGCACTTTTCGGGCAGCTCTAATAGGATTTGTTGCCAAATCGTAGGAGCTGTCCGCTTTGCTGACGGCCAACGTCATACAATTAAGCCCCCAAAGCAGGTCGGGCCCCCAGTTAAATTTCCCTCGCTGCCCTATTATTTGTTGCTCAAATATCAGTGGAGATCGTTCCGTACTTGTATTAGATAAATATTTGATATATAGTGTATAAATCTTAAATTTGAAAAATATTTAATGATTCCTGCATCTTGGGAATCAATTTACATCGTTGAAAAACGACAAGAGAAGCTGCCAGCAGCTGGACTACCAACGATTTGTCAAATATTTTTGGGCCATAAAATCAGTGGGATGTGCTTTATTTGTGGTAAATCAAGAGGCCTGCAGATCAGGTGCAGCTTGGCTGGGAAATACTCTCTATCTTGCGGGAAAGATACCCAAACTGGGTTGTCTTGTTGGGACATTTGGATTAGACAGATAGCCCCATGATCCCAATTTTCGGGTGCTCCCTTATCTGCCAGCTAATATACCCCTTTGGCAGTAATCCGGGGCAAATAAAAAACGAAAAAACGATCGTAAAACGACGAACGACATCGGAAGACATAAATTAAAATATGCCACAGCGATGACTCTGGCTGCTGCCCCTTGTTTCTTTCCCATCTGCGTAATAAATCCGAATCCAAATCGGAATCCGAATGCGGTATGGATATAAACCATGCTTTATTTGTGTTATTGTGATTTATGGGCTTGCTCTCATGCCTTGCTCTTTTGGAGTATGAAATTAATATTGAAAAGCTACTAAATCCAGACTTACGCATAAATTAAAAGTTAAGTAGGTAGGCTGTTCCCCGCCCGCCAGACTATTTTTGTAATCCACAACAAAGAAAGAGCAAAACAAGCTCACAAAAACCAAAACAAAACAGGCAACATTTCTCGGCTTCTGGGGCGATTTACTTGCATGTTTACCCCGTGATTTATGGGCATCAACAGCCAGTGAATAAACACAACATTTTTGCACATTTGCATTGCATTTCAATGCACATTTGACATCGTAAATATTTGCCAATGCATTAACTCGCCACAACGATATATATAAAAATACAAATAAATCCATATGCGCATGCGTGGCACGTAGTTGGTTCGATTGGGTTTTATTTATGAAGTCTAGACTCCTGATTTGGCGTACTTATAATTAGCATTCGGCCAAATCGAGCTCTATATATGTATATAGTGCCGCATAACGGTAGCGCGGGTTCTATGAACTGGCCGGGGATATAGTATACTATATATATAGTACTGAACTGGCCGGCCCGCTGGCGACTGTCAGCTTAGCTAATTGAGGCCTGGCCGAGGCTTAGTGTCAGCCAGTCCGTCACTTTAGCAGGGGCCAGTGGTCCGGCGAGCAATCGATCAATCAGCCAATCAATAAGTCAATCATATGCACGGCCAATCGCGCTGAGCGCATACAAATTGCCGCAATTGTCTATCGCATGGCTCCTCATAAGTGCATTACCCGTGGAGTGGGAAAGTTTCGCTTTTCGTCGCCGATCGCCGATCGCTGGGGAATAACGTATTCGATGGATTTAAATACGCATTCGTTTTGATGCCCAGATGGGAGGAAAGTTTTCAAAGCCCTGGGCCAGGCAATCAAGGCGACATTAGCGCTCTGCCGATGGCTTTTCCAACCGAAGATAGAGATGCACTGGGGAAAACTCTTTATCATAATATTTCAGTCACTTCCTGTACTTCAATATAACAATTTATATAAATACTGTGTCCAAATAACTTATTTGGGGAATTGAATAGGAATATTATTATTAGGAATTTAAATGTATTTTTTTTTTAATATAGTTATAAAGTATACTCTCTTAATTTAGAGTTTTCATCAGAAATATTATTATTATTCTACTATTCATGAAGTTGTATCCAATCTATTTAGATATTTTCCCTTGTGCATCGGAAGCTATAGCTGAGGCTAGTGCCAACCGGTCAGCCCGATTGCCTCGTACGATGTCTATTAATGTTGCCCATTAACCTTTTGACCCCTGATTGCCAGCCTGCGTGGTAATGACTCTCTTTCTCCGCTTTGTCTCCCAAACGATTCGCTCTCTTCACGCAAAAATGCGCAGAAGCTAAACGCTTTTTCGGTGCTTGTTTTTTTATTTTCTGGTAGCTCGCCACTTGGCCAATTTATTATTGGTTAGTGCGCACTGCTTCCAGCCGAAATTTGTTGCCAATTTGTTGCGCCACGAAGTTTGTCGTTTGCGCGCTTCGTCCAATTAATTTCCGCATTTCCCAGACTAACTTGGCAATTAATTTCTGCAGTTTGCATTTCTTCAACCTTGTTGGCCTGACCTTTTGGCTCAACTGATTCACGCCAACGCCACACGTCAGCTTTTGGCTTTAGCTTTGGTTTTGGTTTTGGCATCGGTTTCAGTTTTGGTTTTCGGTCTTGGCCTAACGAGAATGGCCTGGCATCCTTTTTTTTGTTTGTTGTATATTTTTGGTTCGCTCTAAGTCGGCAATTAATCAAAGCGCCTTTGGCCACGACGGACAAATCCTTTTGTATGCAGTCGCAGTCGCAGTCGCAGTCGCATTCGCATTCGCTCGTATATGGCTAACGACTGACATCGCAAATGGCTAAAATGACAGCGGGCCGTGGTCGCGTCATGAGTCAGCCGATGGGCAACGGTAACGTGGTCGATGCGTTTGCATCTTGCCTCTTTTTGGGCGGCTTCCCCCCGCTCCTTCCTCAACTCCCCCTCCCCTTTCGGGTTCCTATCACCCCACTAACTTGGCTGACTGACAGACTTCGCTGACAGGCGATGCCAAAGGCCACGAACGCAGACTGGAGTGAAGTGAAGGCTTTTTATTGAAATTAACTTGGTTGCCTATTTGTATATCCCGCTGAGTGCATAATAAGTTTGTCAAAAATTAAGCAAATAAGATGGAGAAAAGCGGACGAACAAGGTTCCCAAAAAAAGCTAATGGAATTAAAACTAAAATAATACGTTTGAAAATATATTCCTGCTTTTCTGTAGAGAGGATTATTTCTTATTTTCAAATCTATTTGATCTGATTTTTTAAATTAATATTTTCCTTACTGTTACCTACTGGCGAGTGTCTATATATAATTCACCTTAATTTTCAAACCCCAAATTGCGCCCGGCAGCAGTTTGATTCGCTCGATTCGAGCTCCATTTTCAGGGACAAGGACAAGGACGCCTTGTGCAAATACTCGACTCGGCAAAATGTT